ATTTCACAGGAGCATCTCTTGTAGGGAGCTGCAAGGCCCGTCTCCAAAAATAAAACTCCACAGAACAGAAGCAAACAGGGAATGCTTTTCATTTCGTTGGGCTGATGTCAATCTGTGCATCACAGCTTCAACTTCACAAAGACCTTTTCACTGTCCCTTCCTGCTTGCAGGCAGGATCTGTACCATCGGCCACGACACAAATGGCAAAGCAGCGGTGCATTTTAGTATTCAAAACAGCACTTCTTATCTGGAAACACAGCCGGGTTCAGGACTGCTGTGCGAGAAAGGCAGGTAAGGTTACACTCACAGAACCAATGCAGCCCTGTTGATTTTCCAGCGATCAGATCTGAGTGATACCAACTGCAGTCCCCAGTATACCTCTTTATAACCGCTCTCCATGTAGAGCCTTTGTCCTCCAAACTCACTCACTAAACGCGGCCTTCCAATGCCTGCCATGATTTCCAGTTTGCCTCAAGAAGCGCAGAGCTCAGGATGTTCACCTTTTGTTCCAGTGGATCAAGATTTTTTTTTTCCCCCCTTTCGTTTTTAAAGCCTCCGAATTATTAATATAAATGGGTGCAACGCAGCTCCTTATAATAAAGCTCTGAGCCAGGTAAAACCCGTGCTCTGTAGCTGGAGGAGTACAGCGGGTTGCTCCCCCTATGCCAGGAGAGGAAAATGAAATCCGAGCGGGGACAGAAGGGAGAAGACAGCAACCACGACCCGGATGGAATCACAGCATCCAAAGCAGAGCGGGGTACAATCAATGGGTTATAAATAATAATAATTAAAAGAAAAAAAAGTGCGCGTGCGGAGATGCTGCAGCTATCGGCCCTCCCGAGAGCCGCACGCATCGCTCCCCGCTCCTCCCGTGGCCTGCAGTCGCACCGCTCCGCGTCCGCTCAGCACCGCCGGCCGCTCCGCACCGCCGGCTCTCGGCAGAAAAGCGAGCGGCCCTCACCGCCCGCGGCCCTCCGAGGCTCTCAGCCCGCCGCCAAGATGGCCGTGCGCCGGCAGCACAATGCACGGCTCGGCCCACAACCGCACCGCCCCGCCGGCGGGGAGCGGCCTCGGCGCCGCCGAGTTGTGCCGCGGGAGAAAGGGAACGAAGGGAACGAACGAAACCGGGAGACGCGAGGCGGCCGCGCGGAACCTTCTCGTTCTCCGGGGGGAGGGAACCGCACGGGGCCAGCGCGGCCGCGGGGCGCCGAGAAAGGAGCGGATGCCGCGGCGATCCCGGCCGCCGGTACCTGCGTGGCGCGGAGGTTCGTGCCGGGAGGATCCGGGCGGGGCGGGGCGGCTCTCCGCGAGGATTCAGGCGCTGCGGCGGCCGCCGGTGCCGGGCTGCGCACGGCCGATGCTCCGCGCTCTCCTCACTGTCTCCCTCTAGCTCCCACCGCTATTTAAGCAGCCACCACCTCCGGCGGCCACGCCACATGGGCTGACGGTTTACTCCTCGCCGCAGTCCAATGAGAGCCGGGGCAGCGCCGCCCTGAGCCGGCCCCGGGGTGATGCCAGCCCCTGCCCGCCGGAGCCGTTCCGAGGGAGGGGGAAGGGAGGGGAGGAAAAGGAGGAAAAGAAGGGAAAGGAGGAGGGGGTCCCGAGCGCACCGGGGCGGACCCGGGAGGGCGAAGAGCCGAGCCCCGCCCCGCCCCCCGGCCGCGTTCCGCCGTTCCCGAGCGCTCCGCCGCCCCGATCCTCGCACCGAGGGGGGCTGGGGGAGGCGCACAAAGGGAAAGGGACGCGCAGTGCCGGGCCGGCACCCAACGCGGAGGCGGGGAAGAGTGGGCGAGGGCGCGGCCGTGCCAATGGCGGAGCCCGTGGGGGTGTTGCTAGGCGATAAGGCGATGTGGTGACTGCGGAGGGGACGGCCGAGGCCGCCGGCGGCGGAGCGAGCGGCGCTGGGCCGCTTTCCGGCGGTCGTTCACCCCGGCGGAGCGCGGCGCCGAGGTTACCGCAGGTCAGCGGGCGCGGCGGCCGGGGATGCGCTGCCCCGTGTTGCCCCGGGCCGCTCCGGGCCCGCCGCCCCGCTCCGTACTGACGCCGCGGTGGAGGAGGGGCCGCGGCGCGGATCTCTGTGCTTTTCGGTCGGCAGAAGCGGTGCGGAGCTGCGGGATGCGGGAGGCGCCAACCTGCCGGCAGGGCATCGCTGCGGGTGGGCTGTGAGGGTCCCGGCGAGTTCTGCCTTCCTATTGATCAGCTGGAATCATTTTGTATAGGCTCTCGTTTCTTCGGTCGCAGCCGAGGTGCCGCCTCTCCACGCTTCTTTCCCATCTGGTTTTTAGATCAGTGACCGATTTGTGAAGTATTTTGGTCATAATAGAAAGCTATGAGAATTTCCCCCCTCTATTTAGTGCACAGCTCAACCTCCCCACAGGATCCAAGTGTTATTGTCTTCTTATTTATTGTTATTATGCTTGTTGTTAATGTTCAGCACACTTAGAATCACGGGATGGTTGGAGCTGGAAGGGACCCTAAAGGCCATCTGGTGCCACCCCTGCCCTGAGCAGGGACACCCACAGCTCCATCAGTGCTCACAGCCCATCCCTGCCCTTGGCTGTCTGCAGGGATGGGGCACCACCGCCTCTCTGGGCAACCTGTGCCACTGCCTCACCACCCACAGTGTAAAATCTTCCTCATATCCATTCTAAACCTCCCCTCTTTTAGTTTGATACATTTCCCCCAATCCCATCCCAACAGACCCACTGAAGAGTCTGTCCCCATCTTACAGCCCCTTTAGGGACTGAAGGCCGCTCTCAGCTCTCCCCAGAGCCCTCCCTTCTCCATGCTGCACAGCCCCAGCCCTCAGCCTGTCCTCATAGGGCTGTTCCACCCCTGCGAGCATTTCTGTGGCCTACACTTGTAGATGGTGTCCTTACACTTACCCTACAACAAATGTGCAACAACTGAACTCTTTTCCCAAGAAATTAGATTGTTTCAATCAAGAGGTATCAACAGTTGCCTCAAGGAAAGTTGTTTCTCAGGGAACCAAATAGATTAAATTTGCCCTCCCGGGAAGAGCTCTGCAGGACCAGGCATGCTAGGTGACATAAAGGGGAAAAACAAAACAGAACACCCCCAAACAAACAAACAAACAAACACAAACAAATCCCACAAGGAAAACGACAACTGCATTTTTGAAGCATGTCGTCTATGAGCTTATCTCTGCCATGGAGGGAATGTAAGTCATGATTTCCAGTCTCAGATGCTCTGTTGCAAAGGTTGTGGAACAAACTGCTCCTTTTCTAACAGCACGTTGCTTCCAGTGCCAGCTGCAAACGCACAGCATTCATTGCACTGCGCAGCTCCATGCACAAAAAATGTGACAGTGGGGGAAAAAATAAATAAAGTGTAACCTGCAACTGTTAAAACCTTTGGAATTTACACATGGTGCTGTAGGAATAACCAGTGAGAGCTGAAACTGTGGTGTGATCTGGGCCAAAATTCTTGTCCTTGTTAGAAACCGCTCTGCTTTGAGCTACAGAAAGAGCTCATTCAGGGCCTGGTTCAGGGGAATGCACCGTGTTGTTCCAGCTCTGAACAATGTCAAACCTTGAGTGCAGTGATGGGGTTTTCAACAATTCAATGATTTAGGAAAAAGCTCATGAGGTCCCTCAGCTCTCACAGTGCCTCAGTAACTCCTCAGTGACGTAAACTGCAGGTTTAGGTTTATGACTGTGATGTTGTAGCATTTGGGTATGAAAGCAGAGTGTTTTCAGCAGGAAGTAAAATAATAAATAATGGTTCAGGTTGTTCTCAGGTCGGTTACTGCTGCAGGTGTGAGAGGGCACGGCTGTTTGCAAACAGCACAGGGAAAGAAGTGCTAAAAGGAAAAGAAACAAACAAACGCTCTTCCTTTGTTAATCCTGTTCAGATTTCACACCTTTAGCTGTAACTGAGAAGTTATTCATTTAAGTGGCACTGAGTCCACTCCTCACAGCCCCTCCTGGTGCATGGCTGCCTGCAGTGCATTGCCCAGCACCGTGGGCAGATGGATTTCAGACATCTCCATGGGGAGACACTCTGTAACCTCTCAGGCCAATCTGCTGCAGTACTTATCCATTCAAAAGGCTTTTTCCCCACTTCCCTTCCCTTCCCTTCCCTTCCCTTCCCTTCCCTTCCCTTCCCTTCCCTTCCCTTCCCTTCCCTTCCCTTCCCTTCCCTTCCCTTCCCTTCCCTTCCCTTCCCTTCCCTTCCCTTCCCTTCCCTTCCCTTCCCTTCCCTTCCCTTCCCTTCCCTTCCCTTCCCTTCCCTCCCCTCCCCTCCCCTCCCCTCCCCTCCCCTCCCCTCCCCTCGCCTCCAATCCTTTCCCCTTCCCCTTCCCCTTCCCCTTCCCCTTCCCCTTCCCCTTCCCCTTCCCCTTCCCCTTCCCCTTCCCTTCCAATACCTATTTCTTCTACTCATAGTTCAACACTGGAATACCCCAAGGGAGTTCAGCATTGCTGAGAATGTGAGAAGAACACACTGATTACATTTTAAGCATCCTGGAATGTTCCTAACCACACAGATATCCCCCATTACATCACAACCCACTCGGGTTTCTTTTGGTTTCATCTGTTCTAAGACTTATTTCTCACAACACTTCTGCAAGATTCTAAGAGTCGCTGAGGAACGTTTTTCACTGCTCTCAACTGTATGAAATCTCTTGCTGAACAAAAATATTATGTCTGGTGTGAGGACAGCGGTTCCATTTTACGCTCTCTCGTGCTCTCTGAACAAGGAAAGGAAGGCAGAAGATGAGCAAGAATACAGGGGAAGGTGTGATCTTTTCAACCCCCGTTCTGTAAGTGCTCAGGTAGCTGCACGGGATTAACGGTTGCGTCGCTAATTGTAAGAAAACAAGCAGGTTGGTGCATCCCACTGCTGAGCTTAAATCGCATCTGCGATTTCTCAACAAATATTTCCTAAAGACCTGGAAGCCCTGCCTAAAGGCACAACGATTTACATATGTATTAAGTGGGCATTTCCAAATCCATGATGCAAGCAATATTGAACGTGTATAATTAAAATAAACCTGTATTAACAGTGAAGACTATAATCTCAGCACTTGTGCAGATTAACCCCTTATGTCGGCTGACAGCACGGGACAAAGTACTTGTTTTCTCTTCTGACCTCAAACACCCCAACCTGACACACAAAAATGAACACCAAGGCAATATTTAGATCACATTTACATATCTTAACGCGACCGAATAGCTGACACAGGACTTGCAACAAGTAAATCAGTCTTTGATATTGTAGTTGCGGATTTTTGCCACGGTAGGAGAGATTTTTTGTTTTATGGGGTATGTGCAAGGTGAACTCCTGGATTTTAGCTTCTGCTGAACCTCCAGCTTGGTACCTCTGACTGCCAGACGTGCTGTGGGCATTTCAGGCTGACTCGTGGCACTGCTGTGCTCCTGACGTTTTCCAGCTCGCTCGGTTGAATGCATGATTTCAAATTCCACTGCTCAAATATATAAACAAACAAACAAATCGATAGGAGCATTCTGTGCTAATGTTTGCATTTAATCATAAGGCGCAACTGAAGCCCCACCTGCCTGTTCAGCTGTTTTTAAACATCGAGTTTTACATGTTTTCTCTCCCCTGTGAGAGAAGACACAATGCCTACATTGAATAACGCCAGGCAAAGTTAGCCCTGCCTACTCCCATATTGTGAAATGGTGATGAAGGAGTTGGCTGCAATCATTTGATCTCTTTCAAGAAACCACCAGGAGCCATGAGAGCTGTAGTAAAATGTGTTGGGAGAAGCCCGATCCAAAGGGCTCAAAGGCAGCTCTGTGGGCTTGGCAAAGCCGCCTTAACTGCTATTATCATGTGGGCTTTGTTTGTTTTCCTTCTCTTTCACACAGGAAGGCATTTGCAGTGGAAACCTTTATTTTCTGTGTGCTAGAGGACTAAAAATGTCCCTCTGGTTGGGAAGCAGAGACGGATCTTAGTACTGATGGGAGCCCATCCTGTGGTCTCTCACGTAATTCCACTATCTGCCTTCAATGAAATGAACTGCAGCCTTATCACAACTTTTACTACATAAGATAAGTGGAATTGGTCAATCACAGCATTCATTGTAAGCTGTAAGTAATGTTTACAGGTGCTTGGCTCCAACTACTTAATCCTTATTTTTCAGTGCACTGAGATTTTAACTTTAGATTTATAGAGAACCAAAGCAGACAGCAGTTGGCAGAATAATACACGCTGCAGCACTCTGTACAAGTTGGAAATGTTTAAGATTGATGGCTTCCAGACCCAGGTACAGCATGAGAAAGGTATGAAATTCATCACACAGAGGTTATTAGCAGAACGTAAATTCTCATAGTCATCAGAACAGGATTGAAAGTCCAAACAAAACTGGATGTGGACAAAAAGAAAACAAATTCTTTGATGTTTGGAATGAATTCATCTATTGGGGGTGTATAGCTCTATGTGTAGCTCTGTGCAAAACATGATGCTGTGGCCAGTGTCAAAACACGATGCCTGAAATCGTGTTCAGGCTCAGACTGAAGCAGTTGTTCACTTACAGGTGTGCAACATCTGTGCTGGGTTGGCCTGCTGCCATTTGTTATTACAGGTGGGCTCTTGTGCCATCGTTGTGAAACGTTCAGCTTGCCTCCTTGTGGCTACCCACAGAGCAGGAGGCTTTGAACAGAACTGATGCTTGAGCACTTGGAAAAGCTTAGGATGCATCGCCCTTCCTGGAAAAAAGACCTGAATGGTCTATCAGACAATAAAACAGAATTTCACAGAAACATCAATGCTTCGGAACAAAGCAGGAGACACTGCTTGGAAAGTAATGGATGCAGCTTCAGAATCTTGAACAGGGGCCATAGCAGAATGAGAATATCACTTGTGGTCTGAAGAAGCAGCAGTGGGTATCTCCATCAGCATCGCCCTGCCAGCACTGCTTACCAGTTGTCTGGTTCTGAAAGGTTCTCTCAGTTCTGAAGGACTTTTTGAATCCAAACCAGGGCATGGCTTTCAGACACCTTGTGGGAGGCCCTGCTGCTATAGATTCAAAAGCAAAGCAACCAAGCACCAATGCACCGCATACATCCCTTCCTCTGAGGTCTTCTCTGTGCTTCTCCTGGCACTAAAGATGTTACAGCTGTAACTATTAAAGACTGCTTCGGTATTTGGAACAACAGCATTTCATGTGGCTATTGACTGGGCAGACAAAAATCTGTGTTAATACAGAAATCTAAACAATTTAAACTGCAACTGGCAAGTTCTACAAAGCAGAAGAAGACAAAGAACCAGTGCCCCAGAAAGAGAAATGCCATTTGAGTTGAAATGTCCCAAGCAAACTCTGAATAAAGACCTTCATCTGGTTCTGGTTCTGCTTGGCAATGCTCACATGCTCAAAGGACCTTCAATAAAATCAGCAGGGATATGCACAGTGGCAAGAAATTTAAATGCAGTATCTTCATTTCCGCAAGCAAACAATCAGATAAGGAAGATACACGCCTCACTTCAAGCCTATAAATCACTTCCAGAAGTGACCTCGCTAACAAGAGCCACTGTGAGCACAGCTAGGAGCCCAAGCTGCTTTTGAAAACAGACCTAAAAATGTGTTGTTGAAATGCTGAACTTCTACTTGATTTGTGCTTACAGTCAGAGATCAATATTCCCTGATTTTTATTTATGTTGTTACTGTTCAGATCTAGAAAGATGCAGGCATTTCCCCAAGTGGAAAATGTTATTTAAAAAAGGAGTCCCTCGCTATTTGCTCATGTCTGACCATGCTTTGGAAAGAACACCAACTCAAACAAGTTCCCATTGAGCAGAATGTTGAAGTGAAGAAAACGTAACCAGGGGATTAGTTAATATTTGTGAAGCACTTCAAAGATGAAAAGTTTTATGCAACAGAAATCAGGATTTCTTTTGCTCTTAGAGTTAGAATGAAGCAAGAGCCAGAGCCCGAGCACCCGTTCTGTTTGTTAATATTTGACCAGACTCTTTCTCTGGCCAGCTTTTTACCCACATGGATTGCTCTTAGAGCTGTCAGTGATGTCAAAGCTGTTGAAATTCTGTCTAGTGTGGAAACACTTAAGATAACTTTTGATCCATAAAGTGTAGAATTTCAGAGCAGGGAGCTCTGCAAGTAGCAGCAACAATGAGAACAGTGGTTGAAAGAAACCCCAAGTTCAAGTAGTAAACCAGAAAAGTGACTTTGTTTTGAAACATCTCATTCTCTTTCTTTGTTAGGCTACAATGTAAACACAACTAATTACCCCAGGACCTCTGCTGGGAATGGCTGCGGAGGTGAGGGTTCTCAAAAGCACAGATGGACCATCCACAAAAACTGGAGTCCAACTTTGGCGTGGAAAATGCCAAGTTTCACCTACTCCAAAAGCATATAAAGCAAATGGGGACGTTCTAAGTGCAGACACATATTGCCTTACGTTCTCTTTGCACTGACTGACCTCTGCCTGCTGACCCAAAAACGCAGCTGATCAGGAGCAATTCACATGGTAACACAAAGCACCTCTCATGCTACTGGCTATACTATGTGGTCTCATGGTCAAACTCTACTAGGTGACACTTGGCTCTGTAAAACTTGCAGCTTGTACAGAAGCTAATCACACTACTGTCTATGTGTGCCATGATTTTGAGAGGCAAGCATACAGCTTTTTTGACAAGTAACTTTCTTTAGAGGATGGCTGTTGAGAAGCTCCAGGAAACTACAGGCCAGTGAGCATCTCATCTGTGCCTGGGAAGACCATGGAACAGGTCCTTCTGGGTGTTATGTGTGACAATGAGGTGAGCACAGCTTCACCAAGGGCAGACTGTGCCTCATCGATGCGATAGCCTTCTGTGATGGAGCAATGGCATCAGTAGACACAAGAAGAGCAACTGATGTTATCTACCTTAACTTCTGGCCTTCGATATGGTCCCACAACATATTCTTAATTCTAAGCTGGAAATAGATGGAGTTGAAAGGTGGACTATTTAGTGGATAAAGTGGTTGTATGGTTGTGGCCAGAGGCTTGTTGGTCAATGGCTTTGTGTCCAGCTGGGGGCCAGTCAGGAGGGCTGTTCCCCAGGGGTCTGTCTTGGGACGGAGCTCTTCAACATCTTTATCAGTGAAACAGACAGTGGGATCGAGTGCACACTCAGTAAGTTTGCAGATGACACCAAACTGAGTGCTGCAGTTGATACAACAGAAAGAAGGAACACCATCCACGGGAACGTGGGTGAGCTCAGAAGGTGGGCCCACGTGAATGTAAGGGGATTCAAAAAGAGAAAATACTGCACTTGAGTCGAGGCAATCCCAAACACATGCATGGACTGGGAGAAGAACTGGTGAGCAGCCCAGTGTGGAAGGATGTGGGGGTCCTGGTGGAAGGAAAGTGGGACATGAGCCAGCAGTGTGTGCTTTCAGCCTGTAAGGCCAACAGTATCCTGGGCTGCATCAAAGGAGGGGTGGCAGCAGGGAGAGGGAGGGGATTGTCCCGGGCTACTCTGCCCTTTTGAGGTCCCATCTGGAGAACTGCATCCTGAGGGGCCCCCAGTACAAGAAAGATGCGGAGTTGTTGGATTGGGTCCAGAGGAAAACCATAAAGATGATCAAAGGGCTGGAATATCTCTCCTATGAAGAAAGGTTGAGGCCGCTGGTCTTGTTCAGTCTAGAGAAGAGAAGGCTCCAAGGAGACCTCATTATGGCTTTCCAATACTTAAAGGGAATTTAGAAGGGGAACAAACTGTATACAAATGGGCAGATAGTGGTGGAACAAAGGGGAACAGTTTTAAACTAGAAGAGAGGAGATGTAGATTAGATGATATTGAGAGCAAATTTCTTACTCACAAGGTGGTGAGGCTCTGGCACAAGCTGCCCAGGGAAGCTTTGGATGCTCTGTCCCTGGAGTCGTTCAAGCCCAAGCCCAAGCCCTGGGCAGCCCAATCTATAGGGGGAGACAGCCCTGCTCACAGCAGTGGGTTGGAACTGCATATCTTTAAGGTCCCTTCCAGCCCATGCAGTTCTGTGATTCTGTGGACTGCCATCAGCCTTCAAGACTCATTTGCTATGGACAACCTACCAAAGTCTCCCAGGTGCTCTCAGGAATATACAGAAAAGAAAGAAAGAGTTAAGTACAGTCTTACTAGTACAGCCTGTATACAACAGTGATGCTTTTGATACCACTGTGAATTGTGTCCATCAATTTCTGTTGCAACATCTTTTCAATAATGCAGGATCAAGAAAAAACCCGAATCATAGAATCATAGGAGCCTGTGCTCCTTCTAACCCCCTTATTTCTACTTACCTTCAGAATTAACACATGAAACAAATGTTTAAACCACCTCATTCCTAGAGTACAAACTAAAAATTAGCAGGTAGAGTAAGGAGAGAGAAATTGAGCATATTTTTTAGTCTGTGACTTCCTTGAGAGTTTCCATAAGCTCAGAATTTGATGGTGAAATGAGCAAAGTACATAACAGTCCACTCAGCATTAACATGTGTGTCATCAGCACCCCAAAATATAGAGTCACTAAATTGTGTCACATGCTGCAAGTATAGCAAACTGTGGGGCTTATTTGATATGCCAACCTGCTGGCACATACATGAAAAATGCAGAAGGATCAGAAAACAATTATCACACTACATCTTGTGCTGTTCCACAAGGAATGCCCATAAAACATAGTTACTGCTTTGCCAGATCTGTACAGCACTGGACTTGTAAAACAGATGTTTGAATAAGCAAGCAGACACACTTGCCTTTGTTTAAATCATCTTCTGTTACTCAGCTTGCAAGCCTGTGTGTGCATCACTTATATCTGAAGCACACCTAGCAAGCTGCTCTGTTTCAGTAATGGTTCTAGTCACTGTGACCACGTTTGATGGACATAATAAAGTGAATGGCCTGAAACAACAAAACTCAGCCCTGTTTGGTTTGGTTTGGTTTGTTTTCTAAAATGTAGGATTCCAGCTGGTAGAACTAAGGATACCATTTGGGTAATTTCCCAGTGGAGAAAGCTAAGCAGAATATATATTTTTTATTTGTATTTCATTGAAGTTCCATTCTTGCAATGCAGTGTTTCAGGGCCTGCATGCAGTGAATAAGCTCTGCTCTTAAACCTTCTCGGGGTAAATCTGGATGCAGAGATCAAATTAAGGTTGTTCTCCCTTACTGATGTTACACTTGGTTTGTTTGGCAGTATCATCTTTCCCTCTCACTGTTCTCTGGATCTTCAAAAATCTACAGTAAGTTTTGCAATGATGGCTGGAAATTTCTAGACATTAAGAAATTGATGTCCTTGTAAGGCTGCCAGTTGTGTTGCATCAGACACAAAGCAGCATGAAACTGCATGGCACTATCAGTGTTTCAAAGACATCCTTTTGCTTATCCTGCCAATAGAGGCCTGACCTGAAATACTCTGCCTCTTTCAGCCCCAGCCCCACAAGAACAGCACATGAACAGTGATCTCAGCACCACATCGTTCTAGTCCTACACTTCTATCAGTGCACATGAGTTTGGCACTGTGCTGCACTGCTGTTGTTAACAACTGCTCTTATAGTCCATTTTTCATTTTGAAAGCCCAGTTAGGCATTACATGTTTTTATGTAAAAGCAGCTCTCAGACCTTCCACTGACTTTTCCAGACAGAACAACCCAGCTCTTTCAATCCATTTTAGTGTATCATGTGCTCCAGTGCCCTAGCCCTCATAGAGTCTCTCTGTTGAGCTCAAGTCAAGTTGGTCAATCCCTTCTGGACCAAAGAGTCCAAATACAGGTATGTAACACAGGTTATAACCACACACAGGTATCTACATCATGGTTACAGATCACTGTTCATATAAAGGCCACATGGCTGCCACATCATTCCATGGCTGCCACTAAATCACAATAATAATAATGACAATGATGACAACAAAACTGACTTTAAAAAATCCACACAAGCCCCCAAGCCTTCTAAGAAACAATTTGTGATGTCTATGCCTCATATTAAGAAATAAAAATCGTGCTGACTTGAAACATTCTGAAAAAATGTTTGTCTCTGCTTACAAAGACCTTCAATAAAGAAGAGTCAACACCTCTCCAGAGCACTATACTCCATTATTAGCCACCGTTAGGGTTTCTCTAGTGTTATAATTTAAAGCCAGTATGTTTTCTTCCATCCCTGGCAAAAGTTAAAACAGTTTTCCATGGTTTTTCAGTTAAGGATTACTTCATGAACAGCCCAATAGTTTGAGAGACACATAACGTTCATCTGCAACACAATGCAGGGACACCCACAGCTCCATCAGTGCTCATAGCCCACCCTCTGACCTTGGCTGTCTGCAGGGATGGGGCACCACAGCCCTTCTGGGCAACCTGTGCCACTGCCTCACTGCCCACAGTGTAAAAAACTTTCCCATATTCAATCTAAATCTGCCCTCTTTTACTTTGAAATCATTCCCCCATGTCCCATCCCTGCAGACCTGCTAAAGAATCTGTCCCCTTCTTTCCTACAACCCCCCTTTAGATACTGAAATGCTGTTATCAGGTACCCCTGGTGCCTTCCCTTCTCCAGGCTGAACAACTGGTTGCACTGGGCTACAAAATACTGAGAAATAACAAGCCTTAGTTCATGTGCCTGCATCACATATTGTGCTGCAGCCATGATCTCACTTCTAGGCTTTTGGTCTCAGTGCATTAAGCAGTATTATAGCCATTACACTGCCATAAGGATAATCATTAGGTGAGGATTTATAGCTTTACAATTTGATCTAACAGGTCCTTGGCAACACATGAACTGTGCAGCTTTCAGATAGATACTTTCATATGGGCCTCAAATAAAGTTTAGATTATGCCAGTGCAGAAGGGTATCTGCATTTTCCACAAATGTTTTTAAGATTAGGAATACAAGAAGTCTTTGGAGCAGTGGCATTAACAGCAGAGAGCTGTACCCTCTGAATGGTTGGATAACTCTGAAGCAAGAGTAAAAGCACCTCGAAGTAACTGATTATTAGATCATTAGATTCAGACCACAGGGCTGTAACACTAGGAGTGCTGATGTAAAAAAGTCGGTGGAAAGGGGCAGAATTCACAACTGCACTTGGCTTCTTCTAGAAGAATTAATATTACTGTGATTATTTGCAAAGCATGCTCACAGTGTTTAGCATTGTTTTGAGGACTGAGAGAAGAAGAGCTTGATTTCTAAAGTTTGCCAAATACCTTGGCACGGACTGTGTGCTCCAGATGAAGAAATCCAGACCTGCTGGGCTTGACCAGGGCTCTCCTTGGGTGGCTGACTTTGAACCTTTGAGGGTACAGCAGCCGCCTTTTGTTGCTTTGGCCCATAATTTCCAGCTGAGGAATTGAGCTGAACCTGTGCAAGTTCAAACACCATCTTATAAAGATTGATACTTTTCACTCTGAAGACATCTGAGAACAGTTTAACACTCGTGGTCTTAGAAACATAGAAGTATTTCAGCACAGAGGCAAGATCAGAAAATGAAAATTATTGGTTTAGATTTGGAGATGTTGCATAAGAAGATGAACATCATAGGAGTGATTGAGATAGCCTGGTTAATAAGTGTTAGAATAAAGCTCTCCTACAAGCACTATTTTGTACAGGAGCAAAGCATCCCTTATTAAATGTATATGTCTCTTAGTAAACCATAGTTGAGGGACTCCAGTTGGAAAATCCAACTGAAGGCAAATCAGAGTGAAGATAAAATTGCACTGTACCTCAGCAGACAGCAGTTCTGTTTCTTCTCCACAGCTGCTTGGAGCTTTTTCTCCCTTTAAGATGGGGCAGGCAATTAAAGAAGAGATCCTGGAGAGATGCTGTTGCTTTGCACATTGCAGCTCCTAACACAAAATATTCCATTAACACAAATCACTCACAGCCTCTAGAAATAACACATCTATAGCTCACTTTGCTGTCATGCTGCCATATGTAAAACAATCAGGTATAAATAATACTAAATAAAAACATATCCCCTTCAGATCAACAGGGCCAAACTATCCTCCAAACTCCTTATTAATTTTTGTTCACGATCTTCATTTCTTATTATTGCTGTTATTATCATCCTGCCTGTTAATCAACTTCATGTTGTCGGGGTCATCCTTCACTTTTGTCTTGTCCCACAACTAAGTTACAGAAGAAAAAACTACCAAAGTATGGTGGGAAAAGAGGAAAAAATGAAAATGAACAACAGCCATAGAAAGGTGCTTTCACAGTAAGTTAAAACAAAACGAAACTAATTATCCCCCAATCCCATCAACTTTCAGCCTGTAGCAATTAAAGTGAGATCTGATAAAAAGTCAACTGCTCCAGCCCTGGGAAGAGAAATGAAATGAAACACTGACTATAACCTGATCTTTTGGGCTATCTTTAAGACCAAAGAAACACGTGCCCACCGTATAAAATAACTAAGACTAAAATTCCTGTAGGTGTGACGTCTATAGTTGATAGTAAGAAATTGTCTCTGTTTTTGGTAAGGATGATGATACTGAACACAGGAATGGAGGTATTATGGGTATTAGTAAGGGTGGTAAGAGTTTCCTTCACCTAGAAGAAAAGGGACAAATGAACAAAACGAGAACAGCAGTGCCTGGAAGCTCAGCCTGGAGATCAACCTCAGCTGAGGGGTTGGATTCTCAGGGGGTACATTTTGGGTTAAAATATGGGGATACTGGAGATGAACAGCTTCAAAGTAAGAAGGGAGATCCTTGCTTCTAGTTTGGACACAATCCTGCACGTCTGTCACAGACATTACCCCAAACATCTCCAGAGCTGGAATAGCCTCAGGGATACCACGACCTCAAAGCAATCCTGCAGTGGGAAAGGTAGGACTGCTTCTGGAGCTCATCACACCAGCTGGAAGCACACAGTCAAACACTAACCCTCACAAACCATGGATTTTCAAAAGGTGTTTGTTTTTATGAAAGCAAGATAAAATTGTATGACTTTTAAAAGAACATGGGAGACATGAGAGGTCAGAATAGTAGAAACTGTAGTAGAAGGAATGCAGCCATACTGGAGCAAGTGCAGCAAACAGCCAAAAAGATGATGGATGGATTGAAGCAATTGCTGTGCACACAGGAAGCTGGGGAATCTTGCCTTGTTTAGTTTCCAGAAGGGATATGTCAGGAGGGATCTTATAAACCTGCCTGAATATCTGGTGAAGAAGGTGGGAGAAGGAGGAGAAGACAATTGAAGCATACACTTCTGAGCAGTATGTAGTGGAAGAACGAAAGGAAGTAGAAGATGAAATACAGGACACTCCACTTGACCACAAGAGAAAACCAAACCAAAGCAACAACAAAATCACTACCAAATCCCACTCTTCTGTACTCAGTGATGGCTCACTGAAACAAGTAACCCAGAGAGGTTCCCAGAGGAAGTATTTCCCCAGCTGAACTTGGTTAATAATTCTACTGGAGTTCCATGCCTCAGAGCAACAACCTCACCCTTTCTGACAGAACATTGTTTGCTGCCCTCAAAACCACGACAATCAGCTGCACTGACACAATCCTCACAGGAACAAATCTGCTGATCAATTGAGTAAAGTACATAATGAAATCCTGTCTCTGGTGAAGTCATTGGGAAGTTTGCCACTAACTGCTGGGAGAGCCAGGTTTGATCCACTTGTCTCTCTCAGGAAAGCAACTATTCAACTATTAGAAGTTATTTTGTAGTTAGAAAAGACTACAGACATGTTTATTATACATTCTGCCTTCATAAAAGGGAAATGTTTTGGTGCAATAATTTGGACAAGGGAGATTGAATACTTGGAAGTATGCTCACTGATCAACCACTTTCAAGTCTATCTTAGAACATGCTGCAAATCCTTCAGCTGACCTTATTTTACTCATTTAACACCAAGCTTTATGAAACTCACACTTGTAGTTCAGTGCTGCAGTTATACTGCATCAACACAAGTGTTCCTCAAGTTCATTAGATGAAAACAGTGATTTAAAACAGTGAAGTTCCAGATAGAAGCCCACAGCTACAAATCCTCCCAAGTGCCAAAAAAGGACTTGAGCTGAAGTCAGTGAAAGGTATTTTGATGTAGAATTTTAAAGGAAAATGATATCAATTGCCTTAACTCTTCATGATCACCTCATTCCTGTGGCTGTGTGATTACCTTTGTAATGAGCTTGTGTTGCAGATGCCTTAAAGCTGAAAGCTGACACTGTGTTCTTTTGACAAGTTGTTTTGGAGAAAGGCCACCAGAGCCTATACAAACTGTGCAGAGCTTTGGGCTAACAGGATGCCCAAGTCCTATAAGAGAGAAAAAAAAAAGCAGGAATGCATTCTCTGTTGTTATTATCAATATAACATTTCCAGCAAGGATCGACTTCTCGCTGGAGATTCAATAGCATGTGAAAATGGCCTAGCATTGTTCTCCTTTTTCCTCTGCTTTACTGACAGAGTAACGATTGCATGGAATTTAAATGCTCACAGTAACGTTTTCTCACTTACTCTTACACACTCCTTATTTACTCTTGACTCTGCTTGCTTTGTTTTCCTTTCCCCTATCATAAAGAACTCATGTTCTGCACAAGAGATAAACCATCGCTTCTCTGCTCTTCAAAGCAGGAGTTCACCTTCCATTTCCCACACTGACATCTGAGCACCAAGGAGCCCTACACCAAAGCCTGCCATTACTCTGTGTTAGCAGCCCCTGGTACAAGTTATGCTGGCAGCAACAGTTAGCGCTGCAGTCTCACCCAAGCTATGCAGCTCAAGGATCAGCCATATGCAGCATCTTTTTTGTGTGTGTATTAAAATCTACTTCTCTCCAGCTCAGAGAATGGACAGATTGGTGGGTTTTATTTTACACGGGTAAGCAACCGCTAGAATACATCTATTACCTTCCTTTAATATCATTCCAAGATCTGTCCTGAGTCTGTTTGCCATTTCAATCAGCTGCTGCTTCTCTTGGCTCAGAACTGACATTGTTCTCACTGCTTCCTTCTGTTTATTTGGTGTTCCTTGCGGCGTGCAGCTGACACCATGCTGAATACCACCACCAGGACAACAGTTATCTGAGGCAGAGCCAAAATCTATCACCTCTTTGCCCATAACTCTGTTATTTGACCCCTGAGAAAACAGATGAGACTCATAAAAATATTTTGAAAACATGTTGCCTGGATGTTTAAGAGTTTGGTACAAGCATGCCTTAGAAAGGAGCTGAAAGCAAAGTGTAAACTGAAGGCTACAGTCTGTTTTTGAGAGCCCATATTCAAGATTTTGTCAGCCATGTGGGGCACATTAAACCACGGAAGAAATCACCAGCACAGGTTGCCCAGAGAGGCGGTGGTGCCCCATCCCTGCAGACAGCCAAGGGCAGGGGGTGGGCTGTGATCACTGATGGAGCTGTGGGTGTCCCTGCTCAGGGCAGAGGTGGCACCAGATGGCCTTTAGGGTCCCTTCCAGCTCCAACCATCCCGTGATTCTACGAAATCCCCTCGTCACAGGTAGCACAGAACACTGAGCCGCTCGTTGCTGGGCACCGCGCGTTCCTCCCGGCTGTCCCGCTGCTCCGTGCTCCAGTGCCGCGCTGCCCCCTAGCGGCCATCTGGGGGAACGCAGCGCCGTGACGCACAAGAACCGGGATGGAGCCACGGGATGGCTGGAGTGGGAAAGGACCCTAAAGGCCCTAAAGGCCATCTGGTGCCAGCCCTGCCCTGAGCAGGGACACCCACAGCTCCATCAGTGCTCACAGCCCATCCCTGCCCTTGGCTGTCTGCAGGGATGGGGCACCACCGCCTCTCTGGGCAACCTGTGCCACTGCCTCACCACCCACAGTGTAAAATCTTCCTCATATCCATTCTAAACCTCCCCTCTTTTAGTTTGATACATTTCCCCCAATCCCATCCCAACAGACCCACTGAAGAGTCTGTCCCCATCTTACAGCCCCTTTAGGGACTGAAGGCCGCCCTCAGCTCTCCCCAGAGCCCTCCCTTCTCCATGCTGCACAGCCCCAGCCCTCAGCCTGTCCTCATAGGGATATTCCACCCCTGCGAGCATTTTTGGCTGTGCCCCACCAGGTCCGTGTCTCTCCTGCACTGAGGGCTCCACATCTGCACACAGTGCTCCCAGTGAGGTCTCAGAGCACAGAGCAGAGGAGCAGATCTGCTGGTCACACTGCTTTCAGTGCAGCCCAGGATCTCATCGCCTTTTGTGCTGAAGGAGCACAGTGCTGGCACCACCAGTACCCCCAGGTCCCTTTCAGCTCCATCCCTACATCCCTAACCTTGTGCCAGTAGTGAGGGTTGCCAGGATTATATGTACAGCATCATCTCTAGCCACCTCATTACAAGCACATCAAAAGATTTTAGGTATTATATATACATATATCAAAAAAAGGTTGAGTAACAGGGCTGGTCAGTCAAAATTTATTCCCTCAAAAGAATTACCATGTTTGATTGAAAGAAAAAAAACTTTGCTGGCTGATTTCTGACTACATGACAGCATGTAAGTTGCATTTTTAAGATTTGTTCAGGCAAAATTACACACAGCCCTATTTAAACTGGTTGAAACCTCTTCTTACCTTTTCTGTGCCTGGGTTTAACACACAGCCCAAGCTAGCTGAGCTGACATTCATATCACTCGACACGGTTCTCCCTGAAACTTGGTCTGTGCAGAGTGAACCTAAATAAATAGAGAGGAGTACAATGTGAATACACGTATTTCTGTCTAGTTTATGTTTTCATAGCAACCTTTTCTTGCTATTGTACATCTATGCCACTTCAGTAGTTGCAGCATAAACAGAGCTGAAGAAATAGAAGAAGCTGTGCGATCTCACAGTGTGCAAACATCAATCAGCTACACAACATGGATGTGTCTGTAGATGAGATATTAGAAAACTCAGTTTGTGGGCAAGGAGCACACAGACAGAAGTTTTTTCTTCTTCCAGCAGTGAATTGCTTAACTGTTGAGCAACTGGCAATATCAGTATAACAAGAATAGCCAAGATGTACAGTGGGAACAAAATCATCAATAAATTGAAATTAATCCTAAAAAATGCTTCCTTTACTTCCAGTAAAAATGGCAGTCTGAACATTCTGATTAATGTGGACAAAGCAGGGAAAAGAAAGAGGATTTCTCCAAACCAGAAGTAGCCCTCTGGGATACCCTCTCATCTTAAACAGTATGGATTGAACATCATAATCCCTATTAGAGATCTCCACATATTTTCAAAGAGATAGAAGTAGTATCATTTTAGTTGAATAAAGAATTTCAGCAGTAGAAAAAAATAAGTTAGTAATTAATTTCTGAAAACTCCTATTCATCAGCTGACAAAAATTACTGGTTATCTTAGAGACTGTTGAACTGCAGCAGCCATCAGTCTTCTCTCCTTCAGACTCCATCTTTCAAAACCAAGGATCAGCTTTCACTAATTTCTGTATGACAGAACTATTCTTGTTTATTTTTCTTTTTAATTTATAATCAAAATAGTTTTTGCTTTAATTGTTTCTTAAACATCCTTTTTAGCTAAGCTATTAAGCAGAATGTAGGTATATTCACTCAGAATGCCCACACACTCCATTTGTTCATTATGTCCCATTTTTTGTGTCCATGACACAATAAAGTCTGTTTAAAATGAACTCTGCAAATGGTAAGGATAAATGAGAGAAGGGTAAATTAGTTACATTAAAAGAGAGAAGGGTAATGAGGGCACAATATTTGGTACAACAGGACAGCTTTCAACAAACCCCTGAAATACAGAAAATGATTCATAGTGGCTCTGGAATAGCTTAAATCAATCAGAGGCTCAATGCTTTGATAAATGGGGCACAGACAGGTACCACAGCTTTTCACCTGCCTTTACATCATTGTAGAAGGTCCTACAGAACAGGGCTGCCTCTGCCACGTGAGTCCTTGAGGATGTGACACCTCGCCTATTTATTTTTCAGATGAAAACAAACCAGAGCTGAATATTCCATCCTCAAGTCAGAGTTGATTCAGTCCCTATTTTCTCCATAGTTCCAAAAGCCACAAGAATGTTTATGAGAAAAAAAAGCCATTTTCCCACCTGTGCTGGTGCCAAACAAAACCAAACTTCACGAACGTTCATCAGTTTACTACGAAATATATCTGACTGCAGCAGATGTACCTTCTGTAGTTCCTTTCTTTGTGCTGTCAGCCTTGACCTCCCCAGAGGGAAAACAAACAAAGTAAAAAAAGTTGGAGGTTTGTAGTTAGTGATACAATAAATGCTTCCAAGGAAAGCCAACAAAACCTATTGGTCACCTGGCACTTTGTGACAAGGTTTGGTAGAACGCGATGCAGCTCAAAGCATTTTTTAACACTGAGATGTTTTAAACTCCTGCTGTTACCAAAGAAAAAAGACAATTACACAGCCAGCAGTGTGACAGCACCTTCAGCCCTTCCCATCAGGACAGCAGCAGTGAGTGGTGGGATGCCTGCAGTGTGGCCAGGGGCACTTTGCTCTCCCCGAGGCACTGAGGATGCTGTTTGCTCATCGAGGCTCTCCATTTCTTTCCTCATCTGTGCAATAACAGCCCGCAGGTTGGCATTTTGCTGCTGCAGCTTTTGTATCTCCGAGCCAGGAATATCTTTCCTGAGGTAACTTTTATCATCAGATTGAAACGTCTGTGAAATAAAAGTGGAGCATGGTAAAAACCTCCATTCCTGAGCAACACTCCCTGTAAGACATCTTCCCTTATGTGTGCCATTGTGTGGCACCACACGTTCCTGTCAGGCACACACGATCCTTGCCATATTCAAAATTAATTATAAGCAAAAAATCCCCATTTTTGTCTGGTGTATTTCACATCTCTGGTGCTAAATTAGAGCCCAAGAATGATTAGCACAAGATTTCTCATGGAGTTTCAGAGCACACAGAAGAAAGGACATGTATGATAACCATATGGTACTATATGGTACCAGTAATTAATATTCCTTGCTTTAGTAGTCTGAAAAGATGCCAGCCAACACACTATTGCTTCTTTGGGAAGAATCACTGATTCAAATCCAATCATTTTTGCCATGTAGCTTAAAAGTCACTTTGTACAGAAAAAAAAAAAAAAGTTGTTCTTGTTCAGAATACTGAACATTTGCTATTCTTCATTTGGTTTTGAAGCATCAACCCTTCATGGAAATCAGAGATTAATTTGGGTTTGCTGAGGTGTGTATGGTTTGTCCTACAGGCCAAAAATGTCAAACAGAAAAATGTAACAGTGAAAAGCAAGTTTTGCAGCAGCACTAAGAGGCTGCAGTGGGACAGCACAATGCAAATGGACAGTGAAAGCAGGTCCTTCACCTGGACCTTGATTCTCTCTGTATTGGAATGATCAGTTTGCAGATCAGCACAGGGTCAGATGGAAAACGTGCTGTGAAAGAAGTTTGTGCTCTCCACCCACCTGTGTGTATTTTATTATAGAAACTGTTCTCATGAACTATCTTCCTGAATTCAACACTTCCTGGAGTTAGAAGACATGAGGTGTGCTTTACACTGCTTTGTTTTCTCATTGAGGTCTGATGAAAAACTCCTGTTGGGTTACTGCTGAGCATCTGTAACTGCCGAGCAGGATGCACTGCAGCAAACTCATTACATTCATTCTATCCCAAAAGACACTTTTCTGCTCCTAGCAGTGCACAACCCTTCAGCACACCTTCAAACCAGCGCTATGCTTGCAATTTTGAATAGTATTTCTTTTTTAACCTGTGTATTTTAGTAGGTAGGAATGAAAGGAAACAAAATATAAATGAAATGAAACAAAATATGTTATTTTAAATGGTCAGAAAACGGATATTTTGAAGATCTGTCTTAAAATCCTGACTTCCCAACTTCAAAGTCTAGCCTGAATTGCAACAAAGTGCCTCAGGACCTTTGTGTCAGAATTACAGCACACTGTCTTGATTTGGACTGGCTTTCTGCATACAGCTTGCTGCTTTTCCCAGTGGTTATGGGATCCAGCCATGACAAAGCCTGTGACATCTAACCTCTGTGCATTCCAGCCTACACATGTCTACATCTTGAATTAAACAGGTGCCTCAGGTGAATTCTTGACAAGTCCAATGGAAACAAGCCCCATGAAACTGTCATCTCAAGATGAAGTGAGCCAAGATAGATGAGAGTGTTGTCTAACCTGCTGCTCTCCTTCAGGAAGGACACCACAATTTGACAATGGTGACTGTATGAACTGTTGTCTCTTAACAGGGAAAGCAGAAGGAGCAGACTCCACTTCATGCAAGCCGTAATCAGTCTTCTGTAGACCCACTTCAGCCTAGGAGGGAAGGGAAGGAGAAGGCAACAAAGTAGATGAGTATCTCAAGTACAAAGAGAGTAGAGATTAGAAAAAGAGAAAAGGAATATATGGACAAAGATTGGGACTCAACTCACATTCCTTTTGACTCCATCAAAAACTGCCTACATGGCAAAATAATTTGGTTTCATTATCACACCATCTTAGTGTGAGACGAACAAGGATCTTCCAGGTCTCAGATGTATTCCTAGGCTACCCCTATCAATACAGAATCACTCAGACTCACAGAATTGGAGGGGTTGGAAGGGACCTGCAGAGATCATCAAGTCCAGACCCCCTAATAAGAAGAAATACTTACTATTAATTTATGGGAAAATGGTAAAATAAAACACCAGAGTAAATGTCCGTGTTCCAAAGTTCAGAAACAACTGCTTTCTCTGTACCTATGGATTTATTTGGCAGCTGGCCATCGAGAATTACTGTCAGCACACTGTGCAACTCTCCCCAAGCAATAAACATTCTAATACTGTATTTCATTTCTCAGAAGCAGCAGCTTGTACACTTCACAAAATACAGGTGCTTTTTTTTCCCCCCATACAAAAACCTCTGAGTTTTTCAGGTCTAATATCGTTCCCTTGACAGAACTGAAGCTGTACTGTGATCTGGTGCTGCTCTGAGAAGACTCCTTTCTGCTTTAATGCCAAAAGAAATGCATTCCCATCTCCCAGCCTGTTCTGACTACATTACAAAGTACATCAGGCAGCTGTCAGAGATCATCCATGGCAGCTATTCTGGTAATGCTTCACCCAAGGAATACTACAATGCAATATATTCCATAGATCTCTGTGCAACAAACAGTTCCTCCATAGCTAATGGGAATGTCTCACCTGCTCTCGTGCTAAAGACACACTTGGAGTTAGTTCCTCTGATTTCTGATCCTGGTGATTTTCAGCATTCCCACAGAGCTGCCAGTCCAGTTCTGCGTGGGTTTTACTCTGTTCCAGAAGCTGTTCTTGCTCAGCTGCCACTGACAGTTGTTGTTTATACCTGTGATACACAGAGCAAAATCTGCTGACTTCAGAAGATGAAAGTATTTAATTTTTTTTTTTTTTTCTGGTGTTGTGTTGGTTTGTTTTTAAAGCCTTGGCCTTCCTTTCTGCCTTCTTTTTTCCTTTTTCAACATATGTATTTTGTTATATGCATTCTCTAAACATTTCCCTGTACCAGATACCTGTTGTCTTTCCTTGAGCTGAGCCAGAAAATCAGTGGGAAGCTGCATGGGGCTGATGTTCTGCAAACTTGAGAACCTGCACTGTGCTTCTAGCATGCTCTCATGCTAGAAGCATTCCATCCCACGATCTTAAATAGCCTATATCTTTCTTAAGTGACAGGTCATATCAACACAGAATGCCATTATCTTGAGCCTGCTGTGCAGTGAGCAGGATGTGTTAGGAATTAATTACTAAGGCAATAAACAATATGTTTTGGTGTGACCAAATTGCAACGAAACGCAAGCAGACAGCTTGGCAGAAGAAAGAATTTACATTTTGAGAGCTTACAAATCAAGGAATTACAGTCACATTTCCATTCATACATTTGTTATCATGACAAAATAGCACAAAGGCATCATATTAACCATAGAATGACAGAATCATAGCATGGCCTGGGTGGAAAAGAAGCTCAGAGATCAGCTTGTTTCACTCCCCCAGCTGTGTGCAGGGTTGCCAACCACCAGACCAGGGTGCCCAGAGCCACATCCAGCCTGACCTTGAATGCCTCCATGGCTTCTAACTTGAAACAACTTAATTATTTTAAGGAACTGAAATGTTTTATTCCCCTGCAATCTGCTACTGCTCCTTTTTGAACACAGAATTACTCCTGATTAGTATCCCTACCTTTAATGCTTTCCACCAGATTCCCAGCATTGTTTTCAGTCATGCAGGACAGCTTTTCAACCACATCATTTTCAAGCTCCTATCTAACAATTTCAATAGCATTTCCCTCTTTTGTAAATGGCTTTTTGCATTTACATATGGTACCATATATGACCGTGAGCTTTTCCTTTAAACAATTTGAGTCCAAATCTGCTAAGTCTGATATTCTGAATTTCTTTCTTCACAACTTACGAAACCAGAAAAATCACAGGCTCACTTTTTAATAAGGGCATCTTTCTCTCTTACACAAGCACTGTGATTCCTTTCTTTCCTGTGCAGCTTCACTTCCAGACTTTTCTGTCTCATCTGTAGTTCTCTGATCTGTTTCTTCAGCTTTTTAAACTGTTTGGTCAGAGCTTCTTCCAATGAAGCTGACAATGCATCCTTTTTCTTATCAGCATGAGATGCCTCTTTCTCCCTGGAATGTGCAAAGAGAGAAAGTGAGGTTTCATGTAACACAAGGGACATTCATTTTTGCACTGTTGATTTACTTTATCAATTTCATTTGAACGAATTCCAAAAATCATTGTGGGAAGTGGCAGAAACAGAAGAGATCTTAACTCCAATTTCCCACAGGACGCTGTGTTTGTGATTAGCACAAAGATTAGCTGTGGGATTTGATGAATAAAAAAATAGAATAAAAGCAACAACCATCTGTGATTTGAAGAAGCTGCTTTCTGTCACAGCACTCGCAGTCTATCCAGCTCCTTAGCAAAAGTATAAAGCTGTGGCTGAACACAACTGGACTCCATAGATTCAACTCAAGTGAGAAGAACATTGGACACTGAAACTAACTACAGTCTAGAAGTGGGAAGAAAAGTTTTTGCTTTATATCCTTTGCTTGGTAGAAGTACTCTTTTTTCATGTAAAGGCAGAAGACACCACTGAGCCATTAGAACTTCAAAGTTAAATATTGTTCTTAAAGTGAGACAGGTTACATTCAGAGGGAACACAACAGGATTAACCTGACATACAGGCTGATATCTCACACAAAGGGCTAATTCTTCCTCTTACAACCATATCTATTAACAGATCAATTAATTCAGGCACACCATCTGAAGCTGCTGCAAATATATATATAAAATATACATATATGTATGTGAAGAGCAAGTTGCAAACCAGTTTACTCTGATGGTGATCAAGATTGTACAATACCAGGCATTTCTCACAGCTACAGAATCATTTAATTCCTAATTCTTGTACTCATCCTCTTTCTCCAGTTGCAAATTAACCAATTCTGCTGCTAGTGGTGATTCTGATGCTTTCATTCCAGTCTCTCTGAGGGCCTCAAGTTCTCTGGTCAGCAGTTTCACCTAAGAAAGACAATAAGCTTAAGAACTCTAATTAAATCACTATTTAAATTAATTTTTAAGAGTTCCAGAACCCTTACACAGCTGAAATTTTAGCATCAGCTATGGAAACAAAGAGGACAGTATAGGAGGTGGCTTTTTGTTCAACAAGGGCAAGTGTAGAGTCCTATACCTGGGGAGGAATAACTGCATGCATCAGAGCAGGCTGGGGGCTGAGCTGCTAGAAAGGAGCTCTGTGGAACAGCACCTACACGTCCTGGTGGCCAACAGGTCGGCCATGAGCCAGCAGTGTGCCGTGAGGCCAAGAAGACCAATGGTTCTCCAGTGTGCATTGCACTGAGTGCAGGCAGCAGGGCAGGGAGGTGCTCCCCTCTGCTCTGCCCTGGGAGGGCACATCTGGAGCACTGAGCACAGTGCTGGGCTCCCCAGTTCAAGAAGGACAGGGATCTCCTAGAAAGAGGCCAGCAGAGAGCTGCGAAGATGATTACAGGCCTGGAGCATCTCCTGTATGAGGAAAGGCAGAGAGCTCTGGGGCTGTTCAGCATGGAGAAGAGAAGGCTGAGAGGGGATATTGATATCAATGCTTAATAGCTAAAGGGCAGGAGCCAAGCAGAAGGGGCCAGGCTCTTTTTGTTGGTGCCCAGTGACAGGATGAGGGGCAATGGACACAAACTGGAACATAAGGAGTTCCATATGAATGTGAGGATAAACTGTACTGTGAAGAATCAGAATCATTAAGGTTGGAAAAGACCTCTGAGATCATCTAGTCCAACCATCACCTATCACCAATATTGCCCACTAAGAAAAACGTATCCAAATGGTAACAGAGCACAGTGAGAGAGGCTGTGGGGTCTCTTTCTCTGGAGATATTCAAAGCTCAGCTGGATGCATTCCTGTGCAATCTACTCTGGGAAACCTGTGTTAGCAGGGGTTTGGACTTGGGGATCTCCAGAGATCCCTTCCAGTTCTGTGATTCCTTCACCTATTACCCATGCCAACACTAGCCCTGTATCTCTCCTTTCCTATCTCTATCTAAAGCTCCATTCACATTAAATGTTATTCAGTGTCTTCTTGGTTTCATATAATCAACAACAGAACGGCTTGGGTTGGCAGGGACCTTAAAGATCATCCAGTTCCACCCCCTACTGTGGGCAGGGCTGCCCCCACCAGATCAGATTCCCAGGGCCCCATCCAACCTGACCTTGAACACCTCCAGGATGAGGCTTCCACAGTGCTTCTGGGCTGCCTGTTCCAGAGCCTCACCGCCCTCAGACAGGTTATTTTAGCAGATATCCCATAATGAAGGCAAGGAGAATAGAATGGGAGGCTACTCAAGCTGTAATCCCCTAACAATCCCTTTTACCACTTTCATTTATATAATATACTGGTTTGGATGACAGGCTAAAAATTAACCTCTTTTGACATCCCTGTAGTATCGTTTCAATACAGAAATAAGGAAGGTATTGTTTTATGTTTTTTAAATGTACAAAGGGGAGAAAAATGGCACCCCATCCCTGAAGTATCACAGTTGAAGGTCAAATTCCATTGCCAGTTAGCAAGACAATTATTTTATGATGAAATGATAGCAATAAAAGAGGCAGAATGGGGTGAAAGCCTCATAATTGAGAGTATGATAAGCAGTATACATTACCCATCCTGCCTAAAGCTGCTTCTGCTTTCCAGAGGCCGACCTTTTCTGCAGTTTCAAGGTTAACAAATTTAGCAGTGTGCAGCCCACATCAAGCAATCTTACACAATCTCAGATTACTAAACACATTCCCAGCAGCTCCTCACAAGGGGCAGCTGCCAGACAAGTCAGGCCACAGCTACTAAACAAGTAGTGCATATAACCTGTCATTATGCATCTCACCAATGTCACAGCGGCAACAGAAAGAAGGCAAAACCAACAACAACCTTACAAAAATACAGCAGTGTTCCATCAGAACGTAACGAACAAATGTCTGCTGGGTGTTACTGCTCTGTGTTTACCTGTTTCTGACAAGCGAGCTCTCCTTGCAGCTCCTGGAGTTTCCTCTCCATGTGATGTCTCAGGCTCACACACCCCTCATGTTGATGATTTGTGTGACCGCTCTTTGACCTGTAAATAAAAATAAAATAAACTTAGAGAGCATCTCTGCTGACCTCATGTGGCGCACACAGAGTTGGAAGGGATCTCTGGAAAGCACCTGGTGAACAATAACACAACTGGAAATACAAGAGGCAGTAATTTCCTAAAGGAACCCTCACCACTGACTTTTTTTTACCTTCCTCCCGCTGCTCATAATCAGCAGTCACTTTTTAAAATCATCTTGCACATGAGAAGTGAATGAACCTTTCCAAGTAACACGATCCACAGCGGGCATACTGTTTGATCTCCTTTTTAAAGTGATACAAGTTCTTCCCAGATATCCAGTTTCAATTTGAAAAGGTCACACAATGCAGAGCACATTGTATGGTTCGCTAAGTTCAGCGTTTGTTTTCCTCATGTAAAATATCAGAATCGTTTCAGCAGCTCTCAGCTACCAAACAGCATGAGGATTTGAACAGCATTCTTTAAAAAGCAGATGTCCTCTTTCATACACTGCCAGATATCCTCCCCTCGAGCCCTTCATAGAGAATACTCACTGGTGAAGCTCCCTGAGGATAATTCAAGCAGATCATTTTTCCATGATTTCAGTTACCCCCCACTCTCCTGTCTCCCCCTGCTCCCCTTCTTTGCAGTTTTCAGACCAGTAGATGTTGCCACTTAAGCAAATTCAAATGACACCAGTTTGTCTTCAGTCCACTGCCCTTCCCTTGGTGATACTTCAAAAGATCCCATCAGACATATCAGCCTGTTTCAATGCCTAACCATCCTTCTTGTGAAGAAATTCTTCTTGATTTCCAATCTAAGCCTCCACTGGTGCAATTAGAGGACATTTCCTTACCTCCTCTCATTTGCTCACTCGTCACCTGAGATAAGAGGCTGACATTCTCCTTGCTGCAGCCTCCTTTCAGGTTCTTGTAGAAAGCAATGACATCTTCCCTCACCACAACAACTGCAGTTACCTCAGCCACTTCTTTTAAGCCTTGTTTCCCCCAGCTTTGTTGCTCTTCTCTGAATGCATTCCTACAGCTCAGTGTCTTTCTGGTAGTGGAGGGCACAAACCCGAATGTAGTGTTTGAGGTGTACTTCCATCAGTACTGAGTGTGGAGGGGCAATCACTTTTCTAGTCCTACTGGCCATACTACTGCGATACAAGCCAGGATGCAATTGGCCTTCTTGGCCACCAGGGCACACTGCTGGCTCGTGTTCAACCACGTACTTTTCTGAAAGACAAACGTTCAGCCACCCTCCCCAAGCCTGCACTGCTGCATAGGGTTGTTATGGCCCAAGTGCAGGGCCTGGTATTTAGCCTTGCTGAATGTCATAAATCATAAAATGGTTGGAGTTGGAAGGGACCCTAAAGGCCATCTGGTGCCACCCCTGCCCTGAGCAGGGACACCCACAGCTCCATCAGTGCTCACAGCCCATCCCTGCCCTTGGCTGTCTGCAGGGATGGGGCACCACTGCCTCTCTGGGCAACCTGTGCCACTGTAAAAAATTCCCTATATCCAATCTAAATCTGCCTTCTTATAGCTGGAAACCATTTCCCCTTGTCCTTTCCCAACAGACCTTGCTGAAGAGTCTGTCCCCTTATTTCTTATATACCCCCTCTAGGTACTGAAAGGCCACCCCCAACTATCCCCAGAGCCTTCTCTTCTCCAGGCAATATCATGTGAATGTCACGCAATTGGATTTGGCACACAGATCTCTCCCATCCATATCCCTCTGCAGAGCCTTCCTACCCTCAAGCAGATCAACCATTCCGCTCAACTTGGTGTCATCTGCAATCTGAGACTGCATTTAATCCCCTCATCATGATCACTGATAAAAATGATAAACAAAACTGCTGCAATGCTGAGCCCTGGGAAACACCCCTTGTGAGCAGCCACCAGCCAAAGGTAACTCCATTCACAATGACCCCTTGCACCCATCCATCCAGTTTTTATCCAGGGGATAGTACATCTGTTCAGCCCACGAGCAGTCAGTTTCTGCAGGAGAATGCTGTGGGGAACAGTATCAAATGCTTTGCTGAAGTCCAAGTAAACACTCACAGCCTCTCTCTTGTCCGCTAAGCCAGTCATCTTATCCTAGAAGGAAACTGGGTTAGTCAAGCAGGAGGTGCCTTTCATAAACCCGTGCTAACTGACTGGGTCTGCTCACATGGTTGTCCTGCACACTCCATGTGATGGCACTTACAGGGATCTGCATCTCACCTGCAAAACTGTTCCAGCTCTAACCTGTGTTCTGCGAGGTTTTGTTGATAGTGATAATGAAGTTCAGCTCTTTTCCTTCTTTCCTTGACAAGAAGTTGCTCCAGTTTATCCAGCTGTATTTTAAGGTTGCTAATCTCTGCCTGCTTAGCATTTTCAGACGTTTTCAGATGACTGAATGTGACATCATAGGATTCCAACTCTTTATCTCTTTCTTCCAAAATTCTGAGGTTATAGACAAAGTCTTCTTTTAGTTTGTTGTAATTTTCATGCATGTCATGCAGTTGCTTTACAGCAATGTCTAGCATCTCCTTTTGAGCAGGGAACTGCCAGTTATGTCGCTCTTTCCTTTCTTTCTCTTTCCACTGAAGGAGCTCTTTCCATTCTTTCTCCATTTGTAGCACTGGAATAAATCTGAAGCAGAAGGTGGTAGAAAACAATTAAGACTGATAACTAAGAAAAACCAGCTATCTAATCACTCCCCATCTACTAGGTACATAATAATTATAATTGAATTTTAAATCTAAGCTGTAAACTTCTCTACACCAACTGGCGTTGGTCACTTTTAGACACAGAGTTTGCTTTTATGGTCACTGAGTCCTGAAGGGATAATATTTCACAATCTAATTACCACACACGGTTATGTTTTGATGCAGGAAAATATTTCTTTTCCCTTTGTACAGATGGGGCACAGAGGCACAAAAAGATTCAGCGGCTCAAAGGAACTCTGCACTTCTAGTTGAGCACTGAAGAGCAGTAGAACAGCAGAAGAAGAGCTGCAAAGTGTCTTTAAGAAAAAAGGCACTTCTGACAGACAAATCAAACCACACCAGCCTTCTCATGTAATGCACTGTTGGACCTTTCCATCCATCAGCAATACAACTGCAGTGTTGCATCTGTCTTCTCTTCCTACCGTTATCTTGATATCCTTCCTGTGCCCCTATTCCCATCTGGTTTGATCCTTTATCTGCTTCACTTCTATCTCTTCCTATCATTTGTTCTCCATATTCGCCTTATACACAAACACAAACTCAGCAGAAGAGAAACCATCCACTCCCAGAGGTACCACCTACATCACGGTTCAGTAATAAGGACAATCATGAAGTAATATCTGCTCAGATCTCTGGAGATTTACCCCAGCCCCGCGGGGTCATTGCAGCTTCTCTGCCTGTGCTGCAGCGCTCTGTGTCAGGGGTTCCAGATAATCTCGGATGGATAAGCAGGGCTGCAGGGAACAACAGATCAGACAAGCACGCCTTTCAAATGGTGCCTCTTTAATCTCCTTAAAAGAAAGAGATTTCCAGATCAGCAAAAGCGACGCTAAAGCACACCACAATCTGAATATCGTTGTTTCCTCACCAATACACCCAGCAGTGACACGGTGATCTGACGGTCTTCTAATTCTGCTGGCCTAGAATTTATGTTTATCCTTAAGGCAATTAAAAGGAAATTGCATTTTCTCCTTTTTGTTAGCAATCTCCAAGCTGTGCCACAGCCTGCAGCAGAGTACAAGTGGTAGCTTTTTCCTTTTTGTCAGCAGAAATAGATGGTGGTTGTAAAAGACACAGAAGTGGACACTCATGAGCAATGCTTCTTTGCCTCTAACATGCAGTGCTACACAAAAATCTGTTCTTTTTATATCTTCCTCTCAGCTCCCGTTGCTCCAAACACATCTGATGTCTGCCACAATTAAAAACATCCATCATTAAAAAACATCAACATCCATCCAACATCCATTAAAAACATCCAACATTAAAACTCCATCCTTCTTTTCCTCCATCCCTGACCATCAGAACATTAAAGATGAAATACACCAACAAGATGCCTTCTGGACTCCGAAGGCACTGAAAGAAATTGTGCTCAGTCTGTAGCTGATGAAATATCACAACACTTTTGTAAAGGTCTTTAAAACCAGTGCATGCTTTGTTAGCTAACCTTAGCCACACGCTAAGATGTCTGTGCATCAGGAATAAAAATAAGACTGCAACTCCGGTCTATTAATTCATTGAGATGATCAAACTGAAGTCAGAGGTTGTTTTGGAAAGAGAGGGTTGAGAAGAATGGCCTGGGTTGAACAGGACCACAGTGCTCATCCAGTTCCACCCCCTGCTGTGTGCAGGTCGCCAACCAGCAGCCCAGGCTGCACAGAACCACATCCAGCCTGGCCTGGAATGCCTGCAGGGATGGGGCATCCACAGCCTCCTTGGGCAACCTGTGCCAGTGAGCAATGCTTATTTTACAAAAGATTGCTACGACTGCCCCAGAATTAAAAGGCAACACACGGCGTCACCTGAAACACGGGAATAAAACATGAATGACAGTGGTTTCCTACAAAAATAGCTCTCCTATGAAAATGACCTCCCCCCACTGCCATGCATGGAACTGATGGCGCTTGTGAATGGACAGAGGTACCCTGAGGTGTGTGTGTGTCACCTTGAACACAAGAAATGGTGGTTTCATAGCAAAATACGAAAGAGTGAAGGTGAAAATATGTCCTTATTGCAAGATGAGACACAGGATCTATGCCCATCTCCACTGACTGCCCCATAAACAGGCAGGATACACTTCTGTAGTTTCAGAGTATTGCTTTTCACTGCAGAGTCCTGTATTTCTTGGAAATGTGTTTTAGGAGGGGAGCAGAGAGCATTTTGCCATTAAAAGCAGCAGTGTTTCTAACTGCCAACTAGTTTTGGTAATGACCATAATAGAGCTCACAGTGCAATTTTAAGTATAAATTGCATCAGTTGCCTGGATGCAGGACAGGCAAAAGAACAGTAAAAATATATCTGATGCCATTAGAAGATGGCCAAGGAGACAGCCCAGATGTGAGACAACATCTTACAGCAAGCACAGCTTAGCCATGCAGCGCAAATAGCAAAAATGACCATTAAAATCTAATAATACAGAGCACATCCAGGAAGAACCGATGATAGATACCCCTGTCAGCCCTTATCTCAGCACAGTGAGATTTCTATCAGCCTCTTTTAGCAAAGGAAAATGGTGGCTTGATGGTAAATCAGTCACAGCTGTTACTCATCAGGTGTCAGTCTGGCAGCACGGCACTGCATTCCACATTTGAGCAAATCACTTCCCAACCCAAGGAGAGCACGGTGATGCTGGAGAACAATTCAGAGTGAATGGTGAGAAGCTTCAGAACTCCACAGAAGCCCCCACCTGTCCCCCATCCTTATAGCTGTGCTCAAAGCAGGAGGAATGCACACTCTCTTATCCTTCCAGTGCTCCAGGAGTAATGGCTGTAACAATTCCAGCAGAGCTGGTGCAGCATCGCCTGCATTCCTTACGAAACCACCAAAAAAGAGGGTGAGCAAGAAAACTACCACCCAGAATCATGCATTCGTTGGGGTTGGGAGGGATCCTTAATGTCACCTGGTCCACCTCCCCTGCACAGCTGGTTTGCTCCACAGAGCAGTAATGCACACGCTGAGTCTCCGTCAGGCACATCACAGCTGTTCCACAGCAGGGGTGGAGTGAAGGGGGGATGGGGTTCAGAGGGAGAATGGGGAATAAAAGCGGGAAGAAGAGAAAGTGGGGGAGGAGGTGGGGATCGGCTTGCGGGATGGAGGGTGAGAGGGCCTGGGAGGCAGGAGAGCAGCTGGCAGGCGCAGTGCGGGGTCGGGACAAGGCAGATGGAGGCAATGAGCGGCTGCAAGAGTGCGGGAAGACAGCGGGGAGAGAGCAGGGAGCAAGATGCACGGCTGCCATACCCGTTACCCGTACCCGCCAACCTTCACGTCCTCCCGCCCGCAGCCGCGGGCCGCGTCTCCATGGCAACCGCTGCGGGCTACGCCTGGCCGAGGCGGCTCGTCGCCATGGCAACCGCAGCGCTGACGCCCCGCCCACCTCCAGCCCCGGGCCGGCCTCTGGCGAGCCCCGCCGGCAGCCAATCAGCGCGCTGCCTCCCTCCCCGCCCTGCCCCCCGCCGTCCCGCTCCCCCCGCCCTCGCCCTTCCTTCCCCACACGGCCGCGTTTCTCGGTCTCTTTCACGGCTTTCGCGCTCAGTCACTGCCGTCATTTTTTGCTCGTGTTTTCCCCAGCTCATCCCCTCTGTTGACATCCAGCAGTCCTTCTTCCGGGCTGTACAAATGCGTTCTCCTCGTTAAACCCACGTCTCTTCCTCCACGAGCACCATCGCCCCTCTGCCCTCCCCTCCTGATCCCCCAGTCCAGAGCACAGATCCCAGCCTCACGGATCGGCTCAGATGGAGAGGACCTTAAACACCATCTACAGTTCCAACCCTTTGATAGGGCTGCTCAGAGCCCCATCCAAGCTGGAAAAGCAATAAATAATAGATAAAGTTCTGCCCTCAAGACATTAATCCATCCTTCATGGCAGAGTGCATCGCTTAAGTGACGCAGAGGAAGCTGCAGTGCACGAAGCACTGTGTGATTTTCCTTGAGTCACTGCTGATGACTCGCATGTCTGGAAGCCACGAGGCAGACTTCCTGTAATGCTGTCATGTCCTGAATTATACAAACTGCTGTGTCAAGGAGGGGAATCATAGAATCATAGAATCATAGAACGGCCTGGGTTGCAAAGGACCACAACGATCATCCGGTTCCAACCCCCTGGCCTTGAATGCCTGCAGGGCTGGGGCATCCACAGCCTCCTTGGGCAACCTGTTCCAGGGCGTCACCATGCTTTCGTGTGGCTACATGAAGTCTATCTATATATCACATCAGAATGCTGCCATTACTGAAGGGATTTGGTTCATTTGTTTGTATAAATCACTTCCGGTTCGAAGCACACCGTGAGATTTGGCATTAAATGATTTTCAAAACCTTCTGGGCACTCCAAAATTACACTGTAAGGCCCAGCATAAGGTACGTCTTGCTTTTCTGCTCTCAAAGCATGGTGACGCCCTGGCACAGGTTGCCCAAGGAGGCTGTGATGCCCCAGCCCTGCATGCATTCAAGGCCAGGCTGGATGTGGCTCTGGGCAGCCTGGTCTGCTGGTTGGCGACCTGCACACAGCAGGGGGTTGGAACCGGATGATCATTGCGGTCCTTTGCAACCCAGGCCCTTCTATGATTCTATGATTCTATGGTTCTATGGTTCTATGATTCTATGATTCTATGAATATATTGTTGGTGAGTATTTAAATCTCTACCTGCCACCTCTCCCCTTCATTCAAATTCACCATCATCCTCCCCCTGGTATCCCCAGACAGTCACAACAATAGCACACACTGGTTCCCCAGATGAGGCTCTGCTCACAGCCCCACTTCATAAGACAAAACCCACTTGGGCTGCTGATCCCACTGCCCTCACCCTCATTTAAGCTCATGGCACAGGAAGACTGTGGCACATGCTGATGCTCCCCTGGGCTGCTCTGTGAGCCACGCTGGGGGCTCAGCAGTGAGCACAGCTGTGGGATGGAGCGTTAAAACATGATCCAGGAAAAGCCTTCTTTTTGAGCGAGCTCTCCTTCCAATGAATGAACTTCTTGTTTCGACAGAACCCTGAGGAATGTGTTTGACAAACAGTAAATATATGTATATAAGAAAATCAAAATGAACGTTTTAAAGATGATCGCATAAATAAAAGTGGCCGAGCTTGCAGAAGAACTTCTGATCCCCAGTATCTCTGAAGCATGGGTGCTGTACATTAGAAACATTTACATGTGTATTTAGGATGTATTTAAATTCCACTTCCATCCAGGCTTGAAGAATTTGATTTCCATGTCTCTCTTTCCCATACCTGTGTAACTGTAGCTTCATACTCGTTAAGTCTATGCACCTCTTTGTAGGTGCTCTTCAAGTTCCTCAAGTGCACACTAAGAACCACACAGAAAGCCTTTATTTTCAGCCTTGCTTTAGGAACAAACTACAAATTGTTGAAACCTCAACGCTGAACGTTTCTTCAATAGCCATCCTACAAGGGCTCTTTGTGCAACACGCTCTGCCATGTTTCCCTTTGAAGCAAAGGGTTGTGCTGGCTGCTCTTGAAACCATCTGAAATGTCCAGGATTACGGTTCAAACTCTTAAAAATGTTGCAGTATAAATCTGTAATTCACATCCTGTGCGTAGTTCAACTGTAAATAAGGAAAATGCCTCAGAAGTCAAATATCTACAAAAATTCAAAGGGAACGAATAGATGCAGATACTGTCAAGGTAATACTTGGGACTCTCCCGCAAATAGCAGGAACAGCAAAGAGTGCAGTTGGAATTTGGAATGGGTGACCATGCTGAAAAATATTCCTTTGTAGCTCTATCACAGAGTGTTATTGTGGTTGTTGCACCTCCTATCATTTCCACGGCATGAAACAGGAGGCATTACTTTCGGAGCAACCCAGGTATATTCTTATCACTACTGCCATAGAAACAATGGAGCGTGGAAGTAAGGAACACGGCAGGATCTGCATTCATTTGGAAACCTGTAAGGAATTATGGAGTGAAGGGCATTTTAGTGGAGCTGTGGTGCAGCCTGAGCTCCGTCAGTACACACAAATGACATTCTCTCCTATTAAGGATCTTCATCAGTGAGAAGCTAATTGAGTGTCACAGCGTATCGTGGATACATTTCCTAGTCAAAGGCTCCTCACGAGGTTGTGTTAATGACAGTTTGAGAACACCTGTAACATGTATGCTTAGAGATAAACAGCAAGGTGCAGAAAATTGCGGGTTCTTTTTTAATTACAACCATAAAGAAGATTTTTTTTTCCAAAAGCTGAGTTCAGAGATCGATGCTTTAAGTCACTGTGTTTGAGTTCTCTTTGCCGTGCATTAATATTCCATTCCTTTGGCCATAGAACCATGACACCTTTACTCACAATGTCACACATTTATTGCTTAAACAGATGCTATTTAGCCCCACTTAGCAAATATGGATTCGATGCCTTCAGCTCAGTTTCAAATATTTCAGATTTGAATTCGGATATTTCGGATGCTGCAGGCACAGCAGCCCTGAGCTCTGCTCACTCACACTGGAGCCTTGTTGAGCACAGAATTAAATGCAGTGATCTGGGTGCCCGTGTTGAGGGCTGTCATTTATCCTGGCACGCCGTCCCCGATGAGCGCATCGCTTTCTTCAAAAACAATGGGAGGAATCAGCTCCAAAAGTGACACCACGGAGCACTGGATGCAGTTTCCTCAGCAGCTGGTCTGTGGCTAAAGATGTGCGCTGCTGAAAAATAGAATCACGGGATGGTTGGAGCTGGAAGGGGCCCTAAAGGCCATCTGGTGCCATCCCTGCCCTGAGCAGGGACACCCACAGCTCCATCAGTGCTCACAGCCCATCCCTGCCCTTGGCTGTCTGCAGAGATGGGGCATCACCGCCTCTCTGGGCAACCTGTGCCACTGCCTCACTGCCTGTAGTATTAAAATTTCTTCCTTATATCTAAAACTCCCCTCTTTCAATCTGAAACCATTTCCCCGTGTTCCATCCCAACTGCTACAGACTGTCCCATTTTAGCAGTAGGTGCTCCAGGTCTCAGTGCACTTACAGCACACAACCTGGTTTATGTTTGGAGCACTCTTATCAGCGCTGTGCACATACACAGGTGTTGGGCTGTGACTTGTAGGGGAGGGGATGTGGTTGCAGTGTTGCACAAACTGGTACCTTCCACTGGCTGAGGAGCTGCTTCATGAAATGGAGGTGCAGAGTGAAGATCACAGAATCCCAGAAACACCAAGGTTGGAAAAGACCTACAGGATCACCCGGCCCAACCATCCACCTATCGCCAGTAATTCTCACCAAACCACGTCCCTCAACACCAAATCCAGATGTTCCTTGAACACCTCCACGGTCGGTGACTCCACCACCTCCCTGTGCAGCCCATTGCACTGCCTGACCACTCTTTCAGAGAAGCAGTATTTCCTAACGTCCGGCCTGAATCTCCCCTGGTGCAGCTTGAAGCCATTCCCTCTGGTTCTATCACTGTTACAGGAGAGAAGAGGCCGACCCCCAGCTCACCACAACCTCCCTTCAGGTGGCTACAGAGAGCAGCGAGGTCTCCCTGAGCTCCTCTTCTCCACGCTGAACAATCCCGACTGCTCTGGAGTTCAGCAGAAGTGATGGAGGCTGTGATAAGGATCTGTGATCTCTACTGCCCCAAAGGGCCGGAAAGCAGTTACAGTTCCTGACAAACCAAACATTGCCACAGACCTGAGCATCGTTGCTTAAGGAGGAGGGACAGTTCCATCCTTCAGAAAGTTTCGTTATTCCCCCTTATTTGAGTTACTGCTTGATAGCAATGCACAGCCCCATAGAAGATCTTTTAATTGAAACCTTAGAGATCTGTGGTGTGTAAGTATGCAGGGTGGACAGAGGTGCCTAGGAATGGAGAGCTGGGAAGCGAGAAAAGGGAAGCTGGGAAATAGCTGCCAATATGTCACCTGTATCCTATAGGTACACCTACATTTTGAATTGCTTCTGAACCACCAGTAGCTCTTACAGGCACTCACATGAGAGAAGCAGCTAGATAAGGAAAGGGATGTTCGCAGACACATTGAAGAGACCGGGCCTGGAGTATCTCCCATAAGAAAGGCTGAGATCCCTGGGGCTGTTCTGTTGAAGAGAAGGAGGCTGAGAGAGATCAGATCGCCGTATATAAATATCTAAAACACAGGAGTCAACCCGATGGAGCAAACTCTTTTTGGGGGTGTGCAGCGATGGAACAGGGGGCAGTGGGCACAAACTGCGGGGCTCTCCTTCTCTGCAGACGTTCGAGACCCGTCCGGGCGCCTACCCGCCCGACCTGCCCTAGGGCAGCGCTCCGCACTGCGGCCGCACGCCGGCATTTCCCAGCGGAGCTCCCGACCCGCTCGGCGGCTGCGGGCGGCGCCGTTTGCGGGCGATCCTCGGCGTTCCGGCGGGACGGCACCGAACGCGACCGCGTGCCTGCGGGCGGGCGAAGCCGCGGCGGCGGGAAGGGCCACGTGGCGGCGCTAGGACCCGGGCGCCACCGCGGGGACGTTGGAGGGAGGGGCGAGCGGACGCGACCCGCCGCGCCGAGGCGCTTGGCAGACGGACAGCGCCGGGTCGGACCGGAGAGCGCGCGGGGAGAGCGGGCGGCGGGGATCTCCGAGCCGAAGCGCGGGCCGTGACTCAGGTACCGTAACGAGGCGGAGCCGGCCCGCGCGATGCCGAGGAGCGCTCGGCGCGGAGGAGCGCGGTGGGTCCGAGCAGGGCGGGCGGGGGGCGCGAGCGGAGCTCCGTACGGCCGCATTCGACGGGTCGGGGCCGCGGGGCGGTGGGAGCGGCTCGGTCCGTCCCGGCTCCTCCGGGCGAGGGGCTCCGAACGCCCCTGCCGCGCTTCGGGAGATGCCCGCGGGCTGCGATGCTGCGGGCTGCCGGTCGGGCGCTGCCACGGGCGCGCGTTTCTTGCGCCTCGTCCGCTTATGTACCGGCCATGTTAATGGAAAACCCGTTCCCAAAGGCTGCTGCGGATTCCCGCTCCCCACAAAACCGTGGCCCTGTTTACCTCCCCCGTTCCCCGACCCCTCCTCCCCGCTGGGCCCCGCAGGGCTTTCCATTCTCTCTTTGTTCTGTCCAACAGTTTGCTGCCGCGTGCCCTTCCTTCGGGCCGTTCCATCTCCCACCCTCCGTCTCCCCACATCCAGCCGTCCATCCATCGCTGCAATGAGGGTTGATCAATCCATCCCCGCTTCGTGTTCCCACGGCTGTTACTCACAGCCCGGGGTGACACAGTCAGTTCCCGCTGTGGGTTTATCCATAGCATCGCGTCCCTTGCGTTCCCCGCTCCAGCTGCTCTGCGGGGGAAGCTGTTTGCCTTTACAATTAACGCGTTAGAACCGGGCTCTTCAAATTATCTGTGCTAGTCAGGTGACGCTTTGGTGCCTTTATTTCTCCTCGATGAGCACATCACCAGCGAGCGCCCCGAGCTTGGCTGGTGCGAAAGCAACGCCCTCGGGTTGGACGATGAGCTGTTCCTGCGGCTCTGTCCTTACCGAGAAGGAAGCAGCTCTTTTAATCTCGAGGTGAACGCTTTCCTTAATTACAAACACAGTCGGTGGCAGCCCGGTCTTCTCCGTTAGCACAGGGGCAGACACGCTCTGCTCTCACCCACCGCCCTACCAGCAATCGGTGCTCTTTACTGAGAAGTGAACGTGCTCCTCTGAAAGCCGTGGTTGTTTTTTTCCTTGCGCCACACCTATTGCTGTAAGTGCAGAAGTGTGGCTGTCAGCATCCCCCCGGGTGCCCTTTCCGAGCAGCAGTGCTGAGCGTGACTCCAGTTCTATGTGAGTTATCCCACTGCTTTCAGTGCACTTTCAAAAATAGAAGTTACAACGTTGGACCAAAGTGGAACCCTTGCGTCACAGCCATTCATTTCAGCCCTGTGCCCACGGTGCTGCTTTCACAAAGCTGCTGTGCCAATTGTTTCCTTATTTCAATCTCGCGTCAGATCAAACCGGTGCTGAGGTGTCTGCACGGTGTTTGCTTGTTCCTGTGCCACACAACGGCACTGCTCCGCTGTGCCAAGCTGTTGCATTCCTGTGCGGTGCCTCAGGTTGGCAGGTGTGGCTGGAATGGCTTCACACAGCGTGTGGAACCACACATGGTGCTCAGAAAGCCACGTACTTCTGTGTCTGTCATCCCTCCCCGGTTACATGCCCCCCTCCCGCTGCAGGTGTTGCTCTCACAGCTTCTGCTTTACGTTTGGGAACTGCTGAGCTCTGTGATTTAACAAAGCACCACTCCCTCGGGGGTAAATATTGCAAAATGAGGCACCCGCTTCCCTCTGTGGCAGCCTGAACCCCTTTGTGGCAGCCTGAACCGGGCGCTTTGCTCAACAAAAAGCCCTTGAAGCTGCTGTCTGTGACAGTGTTACCTCGCTGAGGAGTTCTGTCACTGCCTGTCTCCCATTTGGGTGCTTTTTCTTTCCTCCACCCTCAGAACAAGGTGAAGGAGAAAGCCTTTCCCTTTCAGCACAGCAGCTCCTCTGTGTGCAGCACTCAGCCTGGCTCCCACCACCTCTGCTGTCAGTGCTGCTGTTTCTCTTTTGGTCGGATGCTGTTCCTCCTTTGGTTTTAATGCCCGCAGGCAAAGGCAGAGGTTTGTGACCCCTATTGGTGCACTGGATGGAGCACTCTGTGCTTTTTTGTGTATCCATCCCCCCTCTAAATTGAGGATCGTTATTGTCTTTGTGGCAAGGATGGGTGTCAGCTCGGCTGTCTGCCCTTTAGCTGTGGGATTCTGCCTATTTCCAGTCCGATATGGAATCTCAGTGTGGAACGTTTTGCTTTCTCTCTGATGGCCGTTATTTATCTCTGGCTGAAGGCTCGGGGTGATGCACATATCTGGGTGTTTAAATGCATTCTTGAGGCATGTAGGTCAGCCTCCATACCCCACATCTCTCCCACCCACACCGCTGCCCCTGCAGCACTGCTGCGTGGCAGTAGGACAGTGGCTGAGCACCACTATGATGTTTTTCCCGTATCCACCTTCAGTTATTTATAATACAGATGCTGTCCTTCTGTGTACAACAAACCGTGGCACCAACCATCCCAAGAGCAATGCTACCTCCAATACTCCCAGTCCCTAAAGGTGCTGTATGAAGGGGACAGACTCTTTAGCAAGGTCTGTTGGGATGGAATGGGGGGAAATGGTTTCAAACTGAAGGCGTGGAGGTTTAGATTGGATATAGGGAAGTTTTTACACTACAAGCAGTGAGGCAGTGGCACGGTTTGCCCAGAGAGGCGGTGGTGCCCCATCCCTGCAGACAGCCAAGGGCAGGGATGGGCTGTGAGCACTGATGGAGCTGTGGGTGCCCCTGCTCAGGGCAGGGGTGGCACCAGATGGCCTTTAGGGTCCCTTCCAACCCCAACCATCCCGCGATTCCTCCTAACTGAGCCCGTATCGGTTTCCATGGCAACATGAGGATAATACCAGCAGCACGAAAACACGCGGATTTAACTCCATTCTCTGCCGTGTAAACACGTCCGTTACCAAAGGAAGCGCCCATCTGTGATGGAGGAATCCGGAACAGAACCCATCGCTGCCGTGCAGCGCTGCACGCAGCTCTCAGATCCTCCTCAGAGATGAACGGGGCGAATTTCAGCCACGTTTGCAGCGGGGCCGTTCATTTCGTGAGGGCTGTTCGGACGTTTGTTAAAAGCCATGAGCGATGCGCGAGGTGCCGGCCGGGGCGCGGGGTGTCGGAGCGCGGGGCGGGCGGAACGCAGCGGGCATCGCCGTCCCGCCCAGAGAGCGGCGCTCCGCCGAGCCCCGTCAGCCCCGCCCCGCCGCGCGCCGCCCGGTCACGTCCCTCACGTCTCAGTGCGGCGGCCGCCGGCTCGCACCCTGCCGGGCTGACTGGCAGCGCCGCACGTCGGCGCGGTGCGGTCACGCGGGGCCGCCCGGCGTAGCGGGCTTCTGCCGCCCTTCCCTTTTTGTGAGTGCGGAACCACGGAACGGCTCCGGTTGAAGGAGACCTGAGAAATCATCGAGCTCCGCCCCGTGCCGTGGGCGCCTCGCGCACCTCCAGGGATGGACGGCGCCGCTCTGCGCGGTGCCACCGCGCTCAGTAAAACTCGACGGTCCCTTCGTGCCTCACCGCCCCTCTGCCGGTGCAGCCAGAGGACCGCTGGCCTTTGAGCCCGCAGCGCACGCTGTGCCTCGCGTCCTGCGTCTCACCCATCAGAGCCCCTCCTCCTTCACAGCGCTGCTCTCGCTTTGTCTTGTATCTGCGATCGCCCCAACCCAGGCGCAGCGCTTTGTGCGGTGTTGTCTTAAACCTCGCTCGGCTCCCTTAGGCCCAATTTTTGAGCCAGGTCGCTCCGGATGCCGTCATCCCTTCCGCTCAGCTCAGCGCCATCAGCAGTGCCACTGTCAGTGATAAAGATGTCGAGTGATAAAGATGTTGAGCTGTCTGATCCCATGACAGAGCCCTGGGGGTCTCTGCTCATCACTGCCCTCCACCCACAGAGCCGCTGACCCCAAGCTCCGGCTGTGTCCATCCCACTGATTCCTTATCACCAAACACTCCAGCCATCAAATCCACATCGTTTCAGTTTAGAGATAAGGATGCAGGACCACGTCAAAGGCACAGGTCCAGGCAGACAACAGCACCGGCCCATCCTTTGTCCACCACTGCCATCACCCCACCACAGAAGGCCACCAGATGGGTCAGGCACGGTCTGCCCTTGGTGCAGCACATTGCTGTTGCTCAGTCGGTGAAGGGGACCGTCTACATCCTGTGCCGGCCTGCAGAACAGGAGCAATGGATGGCAGGAGCCATTCCTTCCTGGGGCTGAAGGTTGCTGTGTTCACTGCTGCTCGAGTGCTTACAGAGCTGCTGGCCTCATGAAGGTGTGACGTTCTGTATGCCTTCTCCTTGCTGCCTTCTTTTACTGCTTTAAAGAAATTAATATCTATCAAGAGCGTTTTATGCCTTGTATCATACAGATGTCATTAGGAAAAACGAACCATTCTGAAATTGGACAGGTCCCTGTGTTGGAGGTGCAGCTTCAGACTTTACCAGCCCCAGACTTGTGATAGGGCAGGAACTAAAAAGACAGGCATCTTTTCACATTGTTATGGCAGTCAGCACATCGGCCATCTGCGGTGCCAGACACCTGGAGTCGGGTAACAATCATATTTACTAACAATCATACATTCAGTGCTCACTTTTCTCGACAAGAAGTCTGTGCCAACCAGGCGGGGACAGTCTGGTTCTGAAATAGAGCTGTAAAATGGCATTGTTCCTGGTGACCCAAAGCATTGTTTAGTAATGAACATCCTAATCAACTGCACTTAAATTATCAAATTTTATACATCTAAGCTTTCCTGTTGGTTTGGGCCAGGACTTGTGATGTATGTACCAGGATTTTGTGTTCCGAGTAGCCCAAGAGCTTCCTCTACCAATGCCTTGTAACAAAAATCCCAGGCTTAAAAACTAGTTGTTTCTTTCTAAAATAGTCTGTAACTTCAACTGGAGTGCACAATCTGCCTGTTTGGGATAATTGTCCCAATATGTATCAACTGATTTTTGTCTTATTTCTTAGGGAACCCTCGCGAGCTGCATCATGGGAGCAGTGGTAGTTGATGATGGTCCGTCTGGCGTCAAAGCTCCTGATGGAGGCTGGGGCTGGGCTGTCCTTTTTGGCTGTTTTATCATCACAGGATTCTCCTATGCCTTTCCAAAGGCAGTCAGTGTCTTCTTCAAAGAACTTATCCGGGAATTTGGCATTGGATACAGTGACACTGCATGGATTTCCTCCATTCTGTTGGCCATGCTGTATGGAACAGGTAGGCTGCTCGGTTCTGAGGTGATTCTGCATCATGCAGTGGTGTCTGTAAATCGTACTGACATTTACAGTGTGAATCATGGTTGCTTATTATTGCTCATGTACAAGTAAGGCGTTCAAAAATTATCGTTAATGCATGTAAATCCAATAATTAGTTAAGTACATCCAATTTGCATATAAAATCCAACCTCTGTAACTCATTAGATGCTAAAGATGGTGAAAAACTGCAGAGCAGTACAAAGGAACAGAATATCTGACTGCAGAGGAAAGATCACCCTCTGGGATTGGCCTGATACAGGCAGGGTATGGGAAGAAATGTGAACTGGAAAGAAGCGTGAAGTGACATGAAACCATTGGTAAAACCTGGTTTAGCTTTGCAACTGTAACTTGCTCTCGTTGCCAGGTCCGCTGTGCAGCGTGTGCGTCAATCGCTTTGGCTGTCGCCCGGTCATGTTGGTAGGTGGCCTCTTTGCCTCCATGGGGATGGTGATAGCCTCCTTCTGCACCAGCATCGTTCAGATCTACCTCAGCGCAGGGGTGATCACTGGTAAGCTGCACATGTGGCTGCAATGGGCTCGGCCTGTTTCCTGGCAGTAGGCTGATGTGTCGTGCTACCAACATATCTAAGGGATCAGGATGATCCAAACAGGCTTTTAGTAAGACAGCAGATAAAATTAGAATGATTTTATGTATATATTCACCTATTAATTTATTACGAATGGCATCTCTTTCTGGTATGTTTAACAGCTACTGCTGTTATTGGTGAAGAATAACAGCTTTCTCTGCTCCCTCAGGGCATTAGGTGATATACATTGGTTTCTCCAAAAGTAATGCCTCCTATTTGTTTCCACGGAAATAAACACAATAGAAGAAAAAATATGAAAATGTTAAACTGAGCACTTTGTATTCAGACAGATAACTCTCCTAGAGAGAAGTATCTATAAATTACATCTAGAAATTACAGTGATTGCAAGTATTGGAGATACTCTACGTCTCATGGAGTGTAGCTCGTATTTTACACACTTGGAGTTCAGTGTCTTCTTTGGACAGGTTTATCCATGACCATGGGTGATACTTTTGACTAATATTTGGACATTATTGGATTATTTGACTAATATCTGGACATCAGGAAGTATTACTTTTCGGAAAGGGTGGTCAGGCACTGCAATGGATGCCCAGGGAGGTGGTGGAGTCACTGACCCTGGGGGTGTTCAAGGAAAGGCTGGATGTTGTGTTGAGGGACATGGTTTAGTGGGAGCACTTGGGAATAGGTGAACGGTTGGACTGGGTGAGCTTTGAGGTCTTTTCCAACCTTGGTGATTCTATGATTCTATCAAAATAATAGCGAAGTGGGGCTCTCTGACACCTGTTACCGTGGAACTCTTTTGCCCATTTGCAGTAAAACCAATCTTAAGTCATCAATCAGAAGAAATGCCACTGGTTTTTTCTTTTTTGACTAGCACTATTGGAGGGCCGTGTCAACTTCTTGTCCCTTCTGTTACAGGTTTGGGTCTGGCTCTCAACTTTCAGCCTTCGCTCATCATGTTAAACCGCTACTTTGACAAACGCCGACCTCTGGCCAACGGGCTGTCAGCTGCTGGGAGCCCAGTGTTCCTTTGTGCCCTTTCACCTCTGGGGCAGATACTTCAACACGAGTATGGTTGGAGAGGAGGATTCCTTATACTGGGTGGGATGCTGCTCAACTGTTGTGTTTGCGGAGCGCTAATGAGACCTCTGGAGCCGCCCAAAAAATCTGAAGCTACCAAAGAACCTGCTGAGAAGAAAGCAAAGAAAAAACTCCTGGATTTCAGCGTGTTTAAAGATGGTGGTTTTGTGATCTACACGCTAGCAGCATCTATCATGGTGCTCGGCCTCTTTGTACCCCCAGTTTTTGTTGTGAGTTATGCCAAGGATTTGGGGTATCAGGACACCAAAGCAGCTTTTCTTCTGACGATTCTGGGATTTATTGATATCTTTGCTCGTCCCATTTGCGGAATGGTAGCTGGTCTCAAGTGGGTTAGACCACGTTGTGTCTACCTCTTCAGTTTTGCTATGATTTTTAACGGCTTTACAGATCTCATGGGCTCCATGTCTGTTGATTACGGTGGCCTGGTGGTCTTCTGCATTTTCTTTGGCATTTCTTACGGAATGGTAGGTGCTCTTCAGTTCGAAGTTCTCATGGCTATTGTTGGCACTCAGAAGTTTTCCAGTGCTATTGGCTTGGTGCTCCTGGCAGAAGCGGTGGCGGTTCTGATCGGCCCGCCGTCAGCAGGTCAGTATCCCATTTAGTTGAGAATTCAACACCACTGACATTGCAGGCAGAAAAAAAGTCACTCACAGTGTGCATGCTGTCCTTGTCCTTGTGTTGCACATGCTTACATGACTTTGTGCAGCTAGAATCAGAAACAGCCCAAAACAGGGAAGGAGATTTTGTCCTTCTTGTATCTGTTTGCAAGGTCTGGTTGAGCTGCCATTTGGAGGTGCTGCCCTTTTTGCAACGAAAGCCTGAAGTGCATCTCCTGTTCAAAGCATTGTATGAGTTTCACACACAGTAAATGGGATAAATTCAAACCTCTTTGGAGTTGGAATTCAGAATGAATCCTCTCAGTTTTATCTGGAAGGTATTAGGGCAGATTCTCTGTACTCATGGTAGGTTTGAAGAATGAAAGACAAATTTGGAAGAGGAGGAAAAAAAACCAATCAACCTGACGAAAAGGGCTCTAAAGCATCAGGACTGTTCCAGGGAAAGCAGACTGATTGTGCTGCACGTGTCTTCAACCCTAAAGTATGGCAACACTGCAAAATATTCAGATTCCTGAATTTGTAATGGCAAGTTCACTAACAAAGTGCATCAGTTTAACAGGCTGCACCAAAAAAAAACCCCAACAAACAACTCTGCTGGCTCACAGTTTGATCTGAAGTAGAACAGCAGATCTCTTGCATCTGAAGGCTGCATTGCTTTTATTTCAGTTGAGCTCCTGTCAGTGTGTGCAGGGCAGGACATGTTCCAGGACGTGAAGTACTTCCAGTCAACGCTAAGCTGAAGTGAGATAACAGAAATACTTTGTTGTAAACTTATTGACCTGCATGTTGTCTTTTTCAGGAAAACTCTTGGACCTGACACGGCGGTACATGTTTGTCTTTATTATCGCTGGCATTGAAGTTACCACTTCAGCGCTGGTGCTGGCCTTGGGAAATTTCTTCTGCATTAAGAAAAAACCAGAAGAACCACACACAAAAGAAGCAGCAGCAGAAAGAGAGGAATTAAACAAATCTGAAGACAAAACTCCCGAGGATGCCAAGGTGGACTCTATTGAGGTGGAGCAGTTCCTAAAAGATGAGCCCGAAAAAAACGGCGAGGTCGTAACCAACCCAGAAACCTGTGTGTGAGCACAGCACAAAACCCACACGGCGTTCGGAAGAGGGTCAAGCAGAATTTCAACACTATTTATTTTAGAAATAGAACTAGCTTAGGGCTGGGCCGTCTGCTTTATTAACTGGAGGCCGGTCAGCTCATCGGGTCTCTCTGGAAGCTGATTTACTAGACAACCTTTCATCAGAAAATTAGCTTTATCATTGAAAGGTGAAACGTTGTGGTTATACTTTTTATGTAAACAAAAAAGCTTTTCCGAACACAAGTAGAGTTTTGCCATGCATCACCAGAAACTGCTCACTTGGCAGAGATTGAGGAAGGAATTATGTGTACGCTTTCAGATAATACGGGTGAAATTGCTGTGTTGTGTGGCTAAATGTAATTTCCCTTCCTGTGCTTTTTGGGAAGGGGAAAGAGGTTGAGATGGAGAAAAATCTCAGGAACTTAAAGGTCTCCATTAGGTCTTTGAATTTCTTACTTTTTTTAGACTTTCAGATGAATTGGCTCAGCCCTAGTCTAATTTTGATAATACCTGTTACTTTGGTTTATGCAAATGTATTTCTATGAGTTTTGTCTAAACCTGTAGTCTTTGTAATTGTCATCTGGAAACACTGTCCACAGAAAGGCACATTGCAGGCACTGTCCTCAGCTGATCACACAAGCCCTGATCCTAGGGAACGCTGAAAGGAAAATAAAATGAGTAGATTCGATCCCGACAGACAATAAACAAAGCTCATCTCCGCTCGTATACACTGCTCTCAGCTCAGCTTCTCTGCAACACTGAAAATTATTACAGGTATCATCCAGAAGATGGACAGGAGGCTTAGTAGAACCTTCTGAAAGTGTTTTTGTTCTGTACATACATTGTAATTGTCCAGATGACATCTATCAGGCACGTGGCCGTTGGATAACTTAGGGGCAAGGTTGGGACTGCTTTGAAACTTGTTACTGTTACATCTTTAATATGCAACATCAGCAACACATTCTTCCTTTAATGTTTAATTTACCCCACTTCCCTCTGCTTTATTAATCTATAGAAGTTCAGAGGGCCATTGTGGTTGCTTAAGATGGTGGAACTGCTGATCACATTTTTGACGGCTCTGAATGAGAGCTCACCAAGAGCTGGGCCTGCTCTGCTGCCTGTTTGCTGCACCAAGGCTCTGTGTATCCTTACACTGTGCTTGGCATCAGATGAGGAAGGGGAAGTAACACAAATGGACCTGACAAGACGGGCAGCACTGGAGAAATGCAGAAAGGGAAAAGATTCACTGTGAGGACTTCAAGTAGGAGAAGAAGGTAAAAGGAAGGCATTCTCTATTACATGTATAAAAAAATAGAGTATATTGTCTATACTACATTTTTTTCCCCACAAACACATTGAAAATATGTAATATTTTCTATACAATGATGCTATTTCAGCCCAGTTTTCAGATACATGTATAAAAAGCCCTGTGGGATTTATGAGTGCGGTAACGACCTTCAAAATAGACTTAATTGCAATGGATTCTATTTTCTTCTCAGTAGGGAATCTAAGGCAGTATACAAAAGAATTAGTTGCCCCACGTGATCATTTTAGGAGATACAGTGCAACCAAGGAAGGGCCAAAACCACAACCCAGGGGATTATTCTGGAAACCAGCTTCCACTCTGCTAATTCCTTCACAATGGTTTTGCATTGCTAGGACAAATTTAAATCTTAGGAACACCATTTTATTTTTCTGGTAGCAATTTTAAGCAGAAATGGATGCTGCACTCAATAAAGTGTTTATTTTTTATATTGGATACAGTGCAGTCCTCTTTCCTTTTCTCTCCACTGCCTTGACTTCCTTTGAAGGAAACCTCCACCTGTGCCAGCTGCTCTGCCTGCACAACCACGTCTGTGTTAAGCTGTGCTGGGGCTTCTGCCCAACTGCTTCTACAGCCATAGCAAAATAGGCCTTCACGTTCAGCTCCTCCTAATCCAAGGTGTAAAAAAAGAAAAGCCCCAAAAACCCAACTAACATCTACTGCATACTAGAAGGGAAGGATTGTATCTGAACCCTTTAGCAAGAGCAGCCTGCTTCTTACGAATCTCACTCTGCTTATTGCAAACTCATAAGGAATTGCCTTCAAACTCTTTCAGGACTTTTTGGTGCAGCATTGCTTTAATCTCAGCACTGTTGAGGTGGAAATCCCTGAATTCCTAACACCCCTTTGTGCTCTTGTATTTGGAAGAAATAGGCGGCCAGTCCAAGAATGGCTGAAGAGGTAACAGTGGGGTGCAGGGGCAGCAGTGCTGCACAAGATGTGGATGAACCCTCCTTTGTTCAGCCTGTGACTTGGGTGGAAGACAGCTAGCTACATGTGTCTCAAAGGCCGTGCTGTCATTTGCTTTCCATCACACACTGCTGGAGCACATGTAACTGCAGTCAGAAACCCAGGTGCAATATATCCATGTCTGTACCTGCATATAGGAAGCAACTGACAGATTGCTTTGCAGGTATTTCTCCAGAACTGATGAAGAATCTCTTAGCACACAGGCTAGCATAATTCTAAAGTTGTTTGGGCCTCTGAGTGTTCTATGAATTGAGATGATATAAAGGACTGAACAGATTGTTAATGTTTAAACCCAACAAAACAGGTGTTAGGTGATGTAAAATCATCCTCTGACCCAACCACATTTCACAGTAATAGTTCCCAATGCACTCACGTACACACCTTTGTTCTCTCCCAAGAAAAGCTTAAATTTGGTAGAAAGCCCCAAGGGATTTGCAGGAGCACGCAAGCATTACATGTGGCAACAGTAAGTACTGATTTGTGCACCTCCCTCTGTCTGTCTACTGCAGGTCTCTTTGGGATGACAGGAGTACACTTTGGTTTTGTGCAACAAGATGATTTGTTTCCTGTTAATGCACTTTAATGTTACGTGTACGTTTATACCTGGATTTGTTTGATGCTTTTCTAGTAAACTGTTGCAAAAATAGTGAATAAATATTTATTTGGTTATCAAAAGCTGTGGATGTGAGAAAATGAGATTAGAAAGAAAAATTCTACCACCCAGATTTGGTGACTGGGCTCTGCTGGATGTGCTCACAGGGCCATACAACAGCAGTGTCAGCATCAGCAGAGTTATGATCCCTGTGATGCCCTTTACCACACTTGGATCTTGAAAGCTTCAAAGAAAACATTAAGAATGCACTTGTGGTGTTTTCTGGGCACCTGGCTGAGACCTTCTCAAAGTGCATTCCCAAGGCTGCACCCAAGTGAATCAAAACCACAGTTCCTTCAGTGTAGGAAGAGCTCCGTTTTGCCATCCAGAAGCATGGGGATTTGGAAAGTTCTAAACTATTTTCACATAATTCTAAGCATTTCTGCTGAGAAACCTTGGAGGAATCCCTCCAAGTACAGCTTCAAAAGTTTCTGTGTATGTACGCTTTGAAAATCCTAGATCTAGTTTACTGTATATAGATATATACACGTCTAAGATAGATATCTAAATAGGTATTGAAACAAAAGTATGGTCACTTTTTAATGCTAGTTGAGATGGAGAGGTGAGACTTAAGGTCTAACCAAAAGCTTTGCTATCCCACTCACCAGATCAAACCACGTTCTGCTGCAAGAATGAACGTTACCAGGTAGACCAAAGCCACAGAATTAGCTATCACATGCTTATAGCACATCCATGGGAGAGAAAACCAGTTTTACCTTTGCCTCTTACTCTCCTGAGCCTGAAACAAGATGGACATCCACTGTGAAGGAAAACGTGCATGGCCTGAACTGCACTGCTCTCTGATCCTGCTGCTGGACCCGTAGTGAGGAAACCAAACTGCTGAAGGAAGGCAACCTGCTAACATTTGAAGAGTGAACGACTGGAAATAGCAGAGGCATCGCAAATGAGAAGCAATGGTTTTGGGATGCATATCTTAATGGCCTTGTCAGTGCTCAAGGCCCAGAGCTTGTCTTCACGTGAGTAGAAAGATGCAGAACTTACAGCTCTTAAGTCTCTCTCCAGTGACACAACCTGGAAGATTGGCAGTCCTGTGTTCATCTGAGACAGCAAGGAAAGTGAAGAGGCACACAGAGTAAAGGACTACTTACCTCTAATTACGTGCTGCTTGCTCTTGGACCAGTTTCAACACCTGCTTCGCTTTCTCAGCAATATTCCAGCTGGCAAATTCCTCATTGACCCTCTGAATGCACTACAAAAATGAGGACAGCTCTTCCCCTTCTGACTCTTTGACTATTGCTGTTTCAGAACTTAAAACGCTCTCAGTAGAAAGCCAAAGTCAATAAAGAACTGCATCTAGATTTTAATCTTTACACTTCTTTAATTGAAAAAGTCTTTTTAGCCATGCAGAAAGAAGTGCAGTAAGATCTACAGGTTCACAGCATCAATCTTAAAATGCTACTTTTTAGCAGTGGGAGCAGAGAAACACATTTTCTTCCCAGCTGTTAAAGTATCAAATGATTTCCTACTCTGCTCCACCCCTCCCCCCTCCAGTATCTTGAACGGCCACAGGAGACAAAGACACAGACAGCAGCAGACCAGGGCTTAAAGCATTAGGATACAACAGATAATTCCCTCCTTTGCCACGTTCCTATTTGTTCATTATATCTGTTTTTTTTTTTAGTGGCTGGTTCTTACCCACGTCTGACAGTGCAGAAACTTCCCCCGTGTAACATTAAGAGATGACACCATGCTAAAGAAGTTTTGCCTTTTATGTACTGTGCTGTTTCATGGACTGTGTATAAATAGATGATCCAGTTTTCCTGCTGTCCATCTGCCTGCAGCACGCGACAGTTTCATTCAAAGAACACAAATCATTCTATTTCTGTTCAGGAGAAAAACCCCACGAACATCTGAGCAGCGTCCTTGTGCACATACTCACAGGATTCAGCTCACAGGATTCTGCAAGTGAAACAGATTCTCACTGAGGATGGGGCTGCTGAGTGCTCTCCTGTTACAAACACACTGCATGGCAAAGTGCTTCACACAATACAGATTCACAGTGAAACGTAGGCCCTGAAAAACCAACGCTGTTTTTAATAATGAAGTGCTGCAATCTGTAAGGGCAAAAACGTGCTAACGTGTCTCATTCAGTTAACTGCAGGAGCTGCACTGTTGTAAGATTAAATCCATGGTGGATTAAGCTTCCTCACAACTGAATTAAACCTACATTTCTGACCATATGGTTCAGCACTATTAAACAAACAGCAGCATTGTCTGTACACGTGAAATGAGCGATGTTAAAAGGAGCTGCTTTTGCCAAGTAGAATTACAAAACCCCATAAAATAAATACTTTTATTTTGTTCTTTTACAAAGAAAAAATATGACTGAAAAGAACAGGTTTCACTCCAGCCGACGATCGACTCACACATCCAAAACCCCACTTTAAAGGTTCTCGTGGGGAAACTCCATTTCTGCGAGCGTTGCCCCAGGCAGTTTTTACAGAGCAGCTGCCACTCGGATTTGTAACACAGAAAGGCAGACACAGGAGCTGTGCTGGGGCAGCCCTGCTCTGCTGCAGAAGGAAGGATGAGGTGCTGCCACGTGCTGCACAGCTTCCTCCAAGGGAGCTTTCAAGTTCGTTGGTGATGCTAACGTGGAACACACAGACTACCTGCAGGCCTTTACTTCAGTACCTCTGCTACAGGGTAACATTTATTTTCAGTTATTTTCAAGGTATGTGTACCACAGAGAGGTCAGGAACTTGGTAGCCATCACGATTACGTACAACTGGAGCACAGGTGATGTTTGCCACATTAAAGTACATAGTTTTAAATGAGATTAAAATAATACTCCCAGCTTTTCAAGGCCTATTCATCAGAAACAGAGTACTCCTCAAGCTATTTGCCCTCAGATTTCCTTGTGAGGACTACATAGCAAAAGCTGGTACCACACAAGGCATTGTGGGCATAGTTGCTTTGCTCCTACCTCCCGGAACCGATCCAGTCTCGATAGCAGTTCTTTCCTGTACCTCCTCTCACTACAATGCATCACTTGTTAGATAAAGCTCTTGTGAAGATGACTTCTAGAAAAGAAGCAATACTCAAACAGAAACATACAGAGACAAAAGAGGCGCCCTCTGCCAGCAAAGCAATGGATGTCTTTTTTCCCCCTGCGTACCTTACATTCTTCATTCTGACCCTCAGTCCTTCAGCTGACATTCTAGCTATCACCATTTCATCAAACCTTTGCAATGGACAGCGTTCTATGTACAGAAATCATTAAAAAAAAGATTAAAAAATGTTACATCAAGTAAACAGTAAAGAGTCGTTTTAAGTAAGTTACACCAAAGAAGAATAGAAGTCACTATGAATGTATTTACACAATTGTTAAAGTACACAAATACAGTGGTAGTACAAATGAAGTGCTCTGATACTGGTTTCCAATACACAGGTTTATACAGACAGTCTAACGATGTCCTGCATGATGGAGTTTAACTGTTACGAAGGAGAAAAACTGCCCACAACTGAGAACAATTCTAGAAGTCTGCAATCAACTTTTAAGTATAGCACAGCAATCTAATGATCCAGATACAGAGAGAATAAAGAGGCTGCTGCCTTTGCAATCCCTCTAGCAGTACATTATTAACCACAGATATTTACAAGGAAAGCACGGTGAAGTGTAAAACTGTTCAAATGTTGGTGCACATGCCTAAAATACCAAAGGTTATAGTGACTGAGGAAATAATTCTCTTATGCAAACTTACATGGATCCAGCTCTGTAGCTTCCCCACTACACTAGCCAATACACACTGCCCCTCAGACCCAGCACAAGCAAATACTCAATGTCCTGAAA